GGTGCGAGAGGGACGGAGTGACAGCAGCGCGACGTCCCCTGGGGTGCGAGAGGGACGGAGTGACAGCAGCGCGACGTCCCCTGGGGGTGCGAGAGGGACGGAGTGACAGCAGCGCGACGTCCCCTGGGGGTGCGAGAGGGACGGAGTGACAGCAGCGCGACGTCCCCTGGGGGTGCGAGAGGGACGGAGTGACAGCAGCGCGACGTCCCCTGGGGGTGCGAGAGGGACGGAGCGACAGCAGCGCGACGTCCCCTGGGGGTGCGAGAGGGACGGAGTGACAGCAGCGCGACGTCCCCTGGGGGTGCGAGAGGGACGGAGTGACAGCAGCGCGACGTCCCCTGGGGGTGCGAGAGGGACGGAGTGACAGCAGCGCGACGTCCCCTGGGGGTGCGAGAGGGACGGAGTGACAGCAGCGCGACGTCCCCTGGGGGTGCGAGAGGGACGGAGTGACAGCAGCGCGACGTCCCCGGGGGTGCGAGAGGGACGGAGTGACAGCAGCGCGACGTCCCCGAGGGGTGCGAGAGGGACGGAGTGACAGCAGCGCGACGTCCCCTGGGGGTGCGAGAGGGACGGAGCGACGCTCGGCAGGTGCCTGGAAAACTTGGACGGTCCTCGCGACTCGCGGGGCTGCTGAGCCGCAAGGCTGCTGCGGCTGCCGCGGGGTGGCTGGGGGGTCACCAGTAGCGGGCTGATGCCGAACGGAGCGGTCGTCTCTCTCTGTCTCTCTCTCTCTCTCTCTGTCTCTCTCTCTCTCGCACGCATGGGGCGTTCCGTGGGCGTGCGAGAGAGACAGAGTGACTGTGCGGCTGTGCGGGATCGGTCGGCAGGGACCCCGCCGCGCCCATGGCCCTGTTCAATACAACATTGCTCAGCCTGGCTAAGCAGCCAGTCGCCGCCTTGCCTGGCCAATAAAACCATTTGCATTTAAGTTTGCTGAGTGTGCGTACGTGTGTGTGCGTACGTGTGTGTGTGTGTGTGCGCGCGCGCGCGCGCGCGTGCGTGTGCGTGTGTGAGTGATGCGCCGATTCACTCGGCCTGTTGGCGGCGGCCCGGCGGTAGCGCCACTGGGTCACTGGCTAAGAGGCGCGGCCGGTCGGGGCCTTGGCCGCCAGATCCAGCCAAAGCGGCACCAGTCACACACGCCACCGGGTCGCCCGCCGAACCGCAATACCGCGCAGCTCGGCGCCGCTAATTGCAATGTGCGAGTAGCAGAAGACGCACGCGCGTCGTCTGCTCGTTGCGGCGTTTCAAAACGGCCGCGGCGCGCACGTCGCCGAGGGCGCGTTTTGCGAAACGTGCCGCCCTGCCTGCATGTCGAGCAGTCGCACAGTCCCACGCACTGCAGCAGGCCGGCAGGATTAGCGCGCGTGATCCAAATTCACATTGAGATTGGCCGGGCCGTGATGCAAGGCGGTGCCACGCTGAATCTGAATGACGCGCCTTTTCCCGCGCCGCCCTTGCGCTCCCTTTCGCGCGGTGGAGGCGGCCAGGGCGCGGCGGTCGAGGTCGCCGTCGAAGACACGCCGCGTGTTGCCCAATAGCCCGGTCGTTAATGAGACGATCCGGAAACGCGTCGACGGCGACCTGCCTGGTTATGGCCTCTTATCGGCGACCTCTCGACGTGACCCGCGCCTCGACGGCCTGCCCGCGGCCCGGGGGCACACACGTGACCGACGGAGATTGGAGCCATAGGCCAGTCATGGGCCAGTCATAGGCCAGCCGGCCAGGAGGTGCTCGTCGGCGTCCTCTCCCGAAACGCCAAGGATGTCCGCGTGTCCGCCCGCCGGCGGGCCGCAGGCAGTGGCGCGGCCCTTGCAGTCCGGAGCTCGTTTTAAAGTGGACGAACTTCAACAACAACCGGGGGCCGGGGCGGCCGGGGCCAAGGATGCATGCGCCCAGGCAAGCCCGGGTGGAGCGCGGCGAACGCGGACCACGGGGGCAGGATTGTATGCAAAGCGGGATCCACAAACTCAGATTGGGCGGACAGTTTAAATCAACTAACAAGTTGTGTTGTTGTTGTTGCTTTCGTTTTTGTTTACTTTTTTTAGTTTCCGTCATTTGATATTCCGTAGCGGAGTGCTCCACCCAGCCGCCACCGCCGGCGGCGGCATTTGGCCGCGGTGTGAACAACAACAACAACAACAACAACAACAACAACAAGAAGAAGAAGCCGGGGGGCGTCGATATTTTGGCCCGGACAACAGAATGACTGAGCGAGCGGTGGAACAGTATTGTGATCGGGCGCGCTCCTCCGCTCGCCCGGAGTTGCTCGGAGCGGCAGAGCCCCTGCGAGGTGGGCCGCCCCGCCACGCAGCCGTGCCCTCGCGTTGCCTACCCGCCAGGCGCTCCCCTTCGACGAGACGGAGGAGGACTGAGGACGAGGACGAGGCTTCGGCGGCCACGCTCTATAGTCTCCAACTAAGACTCGACTCCAAATGCGTGTGGGCCACTGTGCACTGTCCTTCGAACGCGGAATCCATCCATCGACGTGTTCGTTTACAACCCGCTTCGCGGACACCAGAGCTCCAAACGTGCTGTCCGCAGAACACTGCAAAGCTAGTGGTAAGTTTACTTGCCGCAAATTTGGCAAGCCGTTTTGAATGCCAAAATTTGGCAAGCTTTGGTCGGCAATCTTCATAAGCTTGCCAAATTTTGGCAAGCTGGGGAGTACTTCCGGGCCAAGCTTGCCAACTTTTGGCATTCAAAACGGCTTGCCAAATTTGTGGCAAGTTAACTTACCACCGGCTTTGCAGTGAACACGTCTTCTCTCCTGGGCCGCCCCACGCGCCACGCGCGGACAGGACAGCGCGGACCGATTCCGAGAAGCGTTTTCGTCGCTCCGTCTCTCTCGCACCCGCACGGCGCGCCCCCTGAGTGCGAGAGAGACGGAGCGAGACGGCCTTTGTGGCGATGGCGGGCAATTAGCGGCGAGGGTGATGCGCGGAGAGTCACCGGGCTGGGCGGCCCTCTGGCAGAAAGGGCGAGGCGAGGCGGCCATTACGTATGCAAAAGGCTGCCGATTTGTATGCCGCCCCGAGTGGCGCGCGGCCTGGCTCAGCCTGGCGCAGCCTTACAGTGTGCAGCCTTACAGTGTGCAGCCGAGGGCAATCAGACATCATCGGCGGGCTGCGGAATACCATTGACTCTTTGCACCCTCCAGGAATATGTGCCGCGACAGTCGATGTGCGTGTCTTGTGTGTGAGTGGGTTGCTGATGGATTTCCCGCTTAGATCGGGCCAGATCCTCGACTGGGTTTTGACAGTGCTGTGTTGTCGTTACTAATAGCGCGCAATCCGACGCGTGCTTTGTCCGAGGTTCTTCCCTCCTAGATTCTTCGATTCGTTCTTCGTTGTTGCGAGGCGTAGTTTATGGCCGGCCGGGTGACAGGTCTTTTGATTCATGCGATGCACCGCCCGGCCGGCCTGGACTGCATTCCCTGCGGACTGCGGTCCAGCGGTCCCAGCGGTCACTGCACTGGCCGCCCGGACAGGGCATCGGCAACCGGACAACCGAACCGGGTTGCGCAAAAGAGATCAAAGACCCCCACGGAGTGGATGCCACCGAGGCGTGATTCATTTGTGGCTAGTCTCAAGGCCGCGGTGGGGCCGGGGGGGGGGGGGGGGGGGTACACGCCCAGGCAGACGTCCCGGTGCCCCGCATGCCCAGATACACGAGATGGATTACCGCAGAGCCGCCGGTCGACCGGCCGCTCGGAACGGGTTGTGTTTCCTGGAGGCGCCGCCCCGCCGCACGGCCGGTCCAGCACAGCCAGCAGCACCTGCAGTGCCCCAGCGACTCCAGGCCGGCCGTCGAGGACGCGCTGGAGCGGCTGGAGCGGCTGGATGATCCACGAGGCGGCGGGGCAGCGCCTCAGCCTGGAGCCTTGGAGGTCGTTGCCTGCGCGGGAATTATCAATTTCGCAGCCGGCTATAACTCACAGCGCAAACACGTCCTCTGTCTCTCTCGCTCCCCGACGGAGCGCCCCGCGCGCCCCGCGAGTGCGAGAGAGACAGGAGGGAGAAGCAGCGCGCAACCGCCGTCGCGGCCGCGGCGCGGTGTCGTTTTCACGCGTGTGCGGTGTAACCATCCCGCGTGCAAGTCGCGCGCGCGTGTCGCGGGTTCGATCCCCGTCGGCCGCCGTTTTATTTTTACGCCCCGCACCTTTGGCGCGCTTTTGCGCACAAAGTGTCGGGCCGTTGCGACGCGCTGCTGCCCGCTGCCCCGCGCGGCCATCACGCCAACGAGAGTCGCAGGCACGCTGACATTTGAATGCGGCACGGCGAGCAGGTTTGCAGAGCCGACGGACGGCCCGGCCGACGGCCCCTCGGCCAGCCTGGCGCCTCCATTAAGGACATGTGCGTACCGCGGCACCTCCGCATTCGCGGGGCTGCAAAAAAAAGGACAACGAAATGAATTGACCTGCTAACGTTCGTAGCGCACGGTTGTTACGTCGTCTTGGCAACGTCGTCGCGTGCGCGCCTGCGCGGAGGGCGCGCCAGAATAAATCAGTTTAAGGGACGAACAATGGGCGGCACAGCCGAGGCGCGGCGGCGCAGCTAATGCGTGTTTTCTTTTCGGCTGGACCGGTTCGAAATTAGAGGGCGCCGTACGTACATGCCCCGTGCTGATACACGCGGCCGAAAAATAAATAAATAATAAATAAGAAAACGAAAGCGAAACGGATGACTCTTTGTGTTTCGGCAGCTCTACCCGCTGCGAATTAGTCAGCAGGGCCTTGTGCAACGGGACAGGCGCGGCAGGCGGGCGGTCGCATGCAGCGTGCGACCAGCCGTGCCGTGCCGAGTCGCACCTTACTGGTGGGTGCTGCGATGCTGCACCGCCTATTATTGGCAGCGATTATTGCGAAAGAAACCTTTGCGATGACTATCGACTTTTCGCGTCGATTCCAAACTTAACGACTGGATCTTACTTTGCGACAGCCAGACACACTTCCAAAATTAGGTGCATTTCTGACGGCTTGGTTTCGTGTTTTGTTGCAGGGCTGCTAGCGCTGGCTGTGTCGGTGTCGGCGCAGGATGGCTACCTCTACCCGAAACCTAGTACTCCATTCCTAGAGGGCGGTGGACAACTACCCCAGCCCCAGTACAGGCCACAGCCTCCGCCTCAACCTCAACCGGCTTACAGGCCTCAGCCGCCGCCCCAGCAGACCTACCAGCCCCAACCACAGCCGGCGTACAGGCCTCCACCACCGCCACCCCAGCCGCAACCACAGCCGGCTTACAGGCCTCCACCACCGCCACCACCACCCCAGCCGGCTCCTCAGCCAACTTACCGGCCACAGCCTCCTCCTCAACCGCAGCCCACCTACAGGCCTCAACCGCCACCGCAGCCGGCGCCTCAACCGACGTACCGGCCTCAGCCAGCTCCCCAGCCACAGCCTCAACCTCAGCAGGGCTACGTGTACAACCAGCCGCAGCCCTCATTCGTTGACGGCCAGGGGCAGTTGCCGCAGTCCTACAGGCCTGCACCTCAGCCTGCTCCACAGCCCACCTACAGGCCGCAGCCTGCTCCCCAGCCTGCTCCACAGCCCACTTACAGGCCACAGCCTGCTCCCCACCAGCCCCTCAACCCGCTTACAGGCCACAGCCTGCTCCCCAACCAGCCCCTCAACCCGCTTACAGGCCACAGCCTGCCCCCCAGCCTGCTCCCCAACCAGCCCCTCAACCCGCTTACAGACCCCAACCTGCTCCTCAACCCGCCCCTCAGCCCGCTTATAGACCTCAGCCTGCTCCCCAGCCAGCCCCTCAACCCGCTTACAGGCCACAGCCTGCTCCGCAGCCTGCTCCTCAACCCACTTACAGACCACAGCCTCAGCCGCAGCCCCAGCAGGGCTACGTGTACAACAACCAGCCCAAGCCCTCCTTCACCGACGGCCAGGGCGTGCTGGCGCAGTCCATCCGCCCCCAGCCACAACCGCAGCCCGCGTTCGTCCCGCAGCCCCAGCCGGCCCGGCCCTTCAGCCTGCCTCCGTCTACGCCGCGCCCCACGCCCCAGCAGGTGTTCACCAGCCCGGTGCCGCAGCAGACCGCGAGCCAGCCCGCGCCCTTCCAAAAGAACGAGGGCTACGTGTACCCGCCACCAGAGAGGCCCGCCGAGCTCCCCGCCAGTCGGCCTCCACCGCCGCCCCCACCCAAGCCGACGCCAGGGTACACATACGCTCCACCCCAGCAGACGCAAGGCCTCAACCTAGGCGCCGCGGTTAGGCCGTCGACGCCAGCACCGCCGCCGCCTCCCCCGCCAAGCACGAGGCCGCCGCCGCCTCCTCCTCCACCAGCCCCCAAGCCCACTCCCGGTTACACATACAACCCGCCCCCGCCCCCGAAGCCGTCCACGCCGGCGTACTCGTACCCGAAGCCGGACCAGTCCCAGAGCTTGAACCTCGGCGCCGCCATCAAGCCCACACCCCCGCCGGCACCCAAGCCCACACCGGGGTACACGTACAACCCGCCGTCACCCCCCGTTAGCCAGAACCTGGCCGCGGCCTACCGTCCGCCACCGTCCACCCCGCGACCCCCTCCCCCTCCGCCGCCGCCGTCAACACCGGCCAGGCCGTACCTGCCCCCACAGCCCCCAACCACCCCCGCACCCTACCGTCCCCCCGTCACAGAGAACCTAAACTTGGGCGCGGCGTACCAACCCCCAGCCACAACCAGGCCGCCACCACCTCCGCCACCCCCGACGACGAGACCACCACCGCCTCCAACCACAAGGCCCCCGCCGCCTCCGACCACAAGACCCCCACCGCCTCCGACCACAAGGCCCCCGCCGCCTCCACCACCACCTTCCACGCCCGCCAGGCCGTACCTGCCCCCTCTGCCGCCGTCAACCCCCGCTCCCTACAGGCCACCAGTAACACTCAACCAGAACCTCGCCGCCGCCTACCGGCCACCAGCAACGACCAGACCACCGCCTCCTCCTCCCCCGCCTCCCAGCAGGCCGCCCCCACCACCCCCGCCACCATCCACAAGGCCTCCTCCTCCTCCCCCGCCGCCATCCACAAGGCCTCCTCCTCCTCCCCCACCGCCGTCAACTCGTCCTCCCCCACCCCCTCCTCCTCCAACAACTACCCGAAGACCATCAACCCCTGCCGCGCCATACCTGCCCCCGTTCCCGTCCAGCAGTGCCCCAGCTTACAAGCCCCAGCCCACCTATCAGACCCAGCGGCCTGCGTACCAACCACCCCAGACCACTCAGCGTCCGTACACCCCTGCCCCCACCTACCAAACCCAGCGCCCTGCGTACCAACCACCTCAAACCACTCAGCGCCCGTACACCCCAGCGCCGACCTACCAAACCCAGCGCCCCGCTTACCAGCCACCCCAAACCACGCAGCGTCCTTACACCCCCGCGCCGACCTACCAGACGCAGCGCCCTGCGTACCAGCCCCCATCAACCACCCAAAAGCCTTACACCCCTGCCCCGACCTACCAGACCCAGGCACCTGCCTACAAGCCTCCCCCTACCTTCGCGCCGTACCGCCCCAGCACCAACGCTCCCACATACTTGCCTCCCGTTGACGAATCCGCGTTGGGCCTGAACCTGGCTGCCGCCTACAGGCCTACGACCACCTCCCCCAAGCCCCCGCCTCCACCCCCTCCCCCAACCACCAGGCCACCCCCTCCCCCGCCCCCTCCATCGACGCCTGGTTACGTTTACAACAAGCCATCGCAGCCATCCACCACGCAGGGATACGTGTACAACAAGCCCACTCAGCCTCCCACTACAGAGGGATACTCTTACAATCCTCCCTCGACGCAGCCACCCCCGAAGGTAAGCAGCCATTCTCCTAAGAATGAAACGTTTGACCTGAAATCATGTGTGATGTCCGCGTCTTGCAGGCCCCTGGCTACGAGTACCCCGAGCCCGACCTGTCGCTGGGCCTCGCCGCGGCCAGGCTGGCAACAAGGTCAAGCCCACCACCACGACCACCGAGGAGCCCAGCGAGGGGCTTAGTCTGGACGCCGCCGGCCTCCAGGCACTCCAGGTCCGTTGCAGTCTTTCCGCACACTGCCTCATGAGACATTAGTTCCGCTCGACATTTGTTTGTGCTTGCCGTGCAGGACAAGAACGAGGACGGCCAGTACCACCCCGACGCCGACCACACCCACTGGGACATCCGCAAGTCCATCCCCGGCGAGCCCGGCACGGACTACCCCACGCTGGACTCCATCCCCGAGACCGGCTTCTCCTGCGACGGCCGCGCCGACGGTATGTCCTATCCGAAGTGCTTTCAGTGAAAACATTGCCTTGCTGGGAGTTGAAACTGCGACCTCCGTGTTTGCAGGCTACTACGCGGACGTGAGCACGCGCTGCCAGGTGTACCACGTGTGCTCGTCGCAGGCCGTCCCGGTCAAGAACTCCTTCATGTGCAACAACGGCTCCATCTTCAACCAGGAGCGCTTCGTGTGCGACTGGTGGCCCAACGTGGACTGCCCCAACTCGGAGCGCTCTTTCGACCTGAACCTGGAGATTGGAAAGACGCCCAACGCGCAGGGCGGCAGCGCTGACGCGGCCAGGCAGGCGTCGTACTCCGGCAGCAAGGCGGCTTCCTCGAACGCGTACAGCTCCGGCAGCTTCCAATCGGCGTCCCTGAGCTCCGACTCCAACATCGTGTCCGCCAACTTCAAGGGCGGCAGCGCGGCCGTGATCCCTCCCAAGGCCGCTGGCTCCGCCGGCAGCTCCTTCTCCGCTTCGGGCTCGGACTCCGGCATCGTGTCCACCAGCTTCAACGGTGGCAGCGCGTCCGTCATCCCGCCCAAGTCCGGCACGTTCGCGGTGGCGCCGTCCTCCAGCAACGGCATCGACAACGACGACAGCCTGGCGGCCTCGCTGTCGTCATCGCTGCCGTCGGGGGCCTCCGCGCCCGGGGCCTCCGCGCCCGCCGAGGAGCCGCCGCTGTCGTCCAGCCTCGACGACAACTCGCTGTACCGCCAGAACGCCGCGTCGTCGGCGTCGTCGGCGTCGTCCGAGGGCGCGCTGTCGTACCCGGGGCCGTCCGCCGGCTTCTCGGCCGACATCGCGACGGCCGGCATCGACCTGCGCTCCGGCTTCAGCAGCTCGGGCCGCCTCAGCCCCGCCGCCACGTCCTCGCTCAGGGCCTCGTTCGCCAGGAGCGCGAAGCAGGTGAGCGCGGCCGACGAGGCGGTGGTGGCCGCCGGCTCCAGCCAGGCCGCCGTCAGGTTCGGCGAGCGGCTGCCCGGCGCGCGCAGCGGCAACGCCAACAACGCCAACAACGGCCCCGCCAAGGACCTGGAGGCGCCCGGCTCCACCTTCAAGCGGAGACGCTACGTCGTGACGCGCAGACGCCGCGTGCCCGTGCACGAGAAGCGCGCCGAGGCGTAGAGTGCCCATGCGGCGGGACTGATGAGGGGAACTACGACGGACGCGTTCCCGCCGAGGCGTAGACTGCCCATGCGGCGGGACTGATGAGGGGAACTACGACGGACGCGTTCCCGCCGAGGCGTAGACTGCCCATGCGGCGGGACTGATGAGGGGAACTACGACGGACGCGTTCCCGCCGAGGCGTAGACTGCCCATGCGGCGGGACTGATGAGGGGAACTACGACGGACGCGTTCCCGCCGAGGCGTAGGCTGCCCATGCGGCGGGACTGATGAGGGGAACTACGAAGGACGCGTTCCCGCCGACGCTCAAATTTGCTCCGCACTGCCCGCCCAGCGCCTCGCGAAAGGACCACCTGATAGAAAAAAATGATAATGTAAGAAAATGGGCGGAACTGGCCAGGAGAGTTGTCAGTTTGAAATGCTAGCCGAAATAGTCTGCAAGTCGTGTTACCTCAAGTATACTTTACTTATCGTCAGTATTAGTCGAGACGAGTTAGTATTTGCTGCAACATGAAAGACAAAAAAAAAATGAAAAATGGATTTTTGTTGCCTTCTGTGGTACCATGATTACGGAGCACAGGGATGCGGGAGGACTTCCCCAGCAGAATTGGTCTTGCAGGTAGAAGTGGTGCCATGTCTTTAAACCTAGTGATAAAGTCGAGTGATTAAATAACTAATGCCTGCATATGCATGAATTAGTTTCTAAAAATCGAACCATCGGGTAGTTGTATGTAAGGGATTGAATTAAGAAAAATCTATCATAAACATGAAAATGTGAGACGATCGTACAAAGGTTTTATTTAGAAATATGATAATGTTAAGACTTATTTTATATGCTCCAAACTGAAAAGTTTTATGGTAGATGTTAGTGTTATGTTTCTTGTTTTCACCGCATGAGATTGAGTGTTAGTGCGTGTGGATGACTGCTGACTGCCTATGTTGTTGATACTTTTGTAAGAAATAAAAAATCTTTCTTCTAGAAGGGTGTCTTTTTTATTTAACAACAAATGGAACTTTCAAAAAGTGACGTAACAGTATGAACCAACGATAAAAACTGACTTAACAACTAATTAATGGAGGTTTAAACTCCGTGCAAAGACTCACAGAAAGTTTGATTTCAAAGTAGAAGGCGGAGGACAAACATAACTGCGTGCCAAATTCCAAAACAAAAACAAAACAAACAAAAAACAGAATCACAAGAAGAATAAAATTTTAAAGACGAGGGCAGAAACAAAACGCCCCATTGAAATCTATGACAGCAAGGTGCACACTCGCAACAAATGTCGACATACCTGACACGGGTTTTTGGCACATTATGTCAGCCAATGACACATCCAGCACTAGCCCAGGGAGAGCGCCCAGGAGCTAGGTACAAAATTTCAGATCCTTTTCCAACTTTATTCATATCATTTTATGAGACGTTCAGGGGTACTCTATTGGTCAAAATAAGGCATCGTTTGTCTCCCAATATTTTTTTAATGTGCCTTTATGCCGCGATCGCGATTAGAGAGAAAAAGAGCAATTATTACAAGAAGGAATTACGAATCAGAGATCTGAACATACATAGGACCGCAAAAAAATAAGAATATCGTAGCTGGTCCTCGCTCAGACGCAGTCCACCACGAGCTGGAGGTCGTGCTCGTCCTGCTCGCCACCCTCACCGCCCCCCTGATCCTCGTCGCAGTCTTCGTCGCCGTCGCTGTCCCCGTCGCCGGGCTCCCCCAGGGCGTGGACGAACTCTGCCGACGACAAACAACGTCCAAAAGTTGTAGGCATGCAATTAAAAATTGTAGTGTAACATGACACAAGGATCCACAGCGTTACCGTAAAAATCGATGCGTCCGTCCCCATCAACATCCACTTCCTTGATCATGTCCTCGACTGGAACAAACCGAAAGCACCCTCGTCAAAAACAATCCCCCTGTAAGTTTAAAAACATGTAGAATAATGAAGTTTTTACTTTCTTCCTCCGACAAGTCCTCTCCGAGGCACTGCAGCACTGCGCGCAGGTCGGACGCCACGATGTAGCCCCGGTTGTGTTTGTCAAACACCTAGAAGAGAATAGCAAACAAAAACGAAAGTTAAAATAAAACCATTTCTGAGAACAACTTGACTGCACTGGTTTTATTTTCACTCTTACCCGGAAAGCGTCCCGCAGCTCCTTCTCTTCCTGGTCGGCCGAGGGCGCGCTGTCGCTGCTGTTGGCGCCCATGTTGGACACGATCTCCACGAACTCCTCGAAGCTGAAGCAGCCGTCGCCTGCGAACAGTGCAGCGGACACCTTCAGCGTCATTGACGAGTCACCGAGGAGTCACCGAGACGTCGCCGCGTCTGCGCGTCACGGCGGCCCGCACGCCAAGCGCGCCGTCTTTGCGGTGGTGGTCGGTGGTGGTCCGCGCCTTAGTCCGAGCCGCCCGCACTGCGAGGCACTGCAAGGTCGAGGTCAACGGTGCGGCGAGAAGGCGCTGCTGATGGACAGCCGGAGGCCTCTGGTCGCTTCTACTTTTCCTCTGCGTCCGTCCGTCCGTCTGTCTGTCTGTCTGTCTGTCTGTCTGTCTGACTGTCCGGCGCCTCACTCCCACCTGTCTGTCGGGATGTCACTCCACCGCGGGGTCGCGGTGGCGCAACGGCATCCTCGATTAATCTCGCTTCGCCGAACTCAACGTCTTCTGGCCAGCCTGACTACCCAGGGCTCTCCAGAGGCTGCGCGCCCGGCGTCCGCCGGGTAGGCAACCCAACGCGCGCGCGCGCCGGCCGGCCGGCCTACCCGGGGCCCGGCAGGCGCGCTGCACCGCACAGTGGGCCAGAAGACCGGTGGAGGCGGACAAAACTCTAGACGCGTTTTGAGCTCCAGAGTCGCTTAGTGGGAGTCGAACCGAACGTGTGACCCCACCAATGAATTGCTCTCCTAATGAGGAATCCATTGGCGAGGTCACACGTTCGGTTCGAGTCCCATTTAGCGACTCTGGAGCTCAAAACGCGTCTAGAGTTTTGTCCGCCTCCGCCGGTCTTCTGGCCCACTGTCGCCACCACCTTCGGGCCACACCTTCGGGGAAGGTTGCTCTCACCGTCGATGTCCACCTCGCGCAGCATGTCGTGCAGCTCCTCCTCGCGCGCGAACTGCCCCAGCGAGCGCATGACGCGGCCCAGCTCCTCCTGCGTGATGCTGCCGTCGCCGTCCTTGTCGAACAGGCTGAACGCCTCGCGGAACTCTGCGAAGACGAAGACAGTCGACTTGAGCGGGAGCGGAACGCCAGGGCTAGGAGGGTGCGAAGCGAGGTGCGAGGGGGCAGCCTTCGACTTGCCTTTCATCTGGGCCTTGGACACCAGCGGCCCTGTCTTGGTCGCCGCCGCCGCCGCGCTCCGGGACGCCGTCGGCGCGTCCTGCACTGGGGGCGTGTTGCCTGCGGCACGGCATGGACACCGGCGTCAAACACCGTCCACAAGGGAAGGGTCTACCAACAGTCAAATAAAAGACATTTTACGCGATGTTGATGGCACAGGACTCACCCTCGCGGTACCAGCCGTCGCCCGGCCGCCACGGCGCGCTGGCGGCCTGCTGCGACTGCCGCGGCTGGTGCTGCGGGCTGCATCCCGGCGTGGAGGAGCCGCCTGTCTGCCGCGTCTGGAAAAGCCAAAACTCATCTTACTCGGGATTCGAACCCGGGGACTCCCTCTCCACACGCCGACTCCCACCGCGCGGCTCGCCGCCGGCCGTCTAACGTGATTTGCCGCTATCGCTATTCATGAGGGAAGGCGAGTCCAACTCTGCGGAAAGTGTGGAGCGGTGGCCGGCTGGCTCCGAACAGCGCTTCGTCGCTCTGTCTCTCTCGCACTCGCAGAGCGGCCCTTCAGGGTGCGAGAGAGACAGAGCGACGAAACCAGCCACCGGCCCAGCCCGTCTCAATGCAGCTGCTGGTGGCGGCCAACTTTCTGGTCGATTTCGAACGTTCTTTCTTTCCCTCCACTGCCCCCGCTCCCCCACCCTGCCATCCGTCATGCCGGCTGCGCCACTGGCAGTACAGGCCTGGCAGAACTGGGCCGCGGGATTTCTCATTTTTGCGCCACGCTTGGGTGCGGCGCGGACGGGCGCGAGGCGCGAGTGCGATAACGCGAGGGAACAAGGGGTGGACGCCTCTGCCTGTTGCCTCGCACCCCACGCCACTGGAGGGAGAGAGGCTTCGCTTTTCGTGCCTTTTCACGCGCCGCTCCCCGCGCTCGAGTGTGAGGGGATGATTCTCCAGCCAGAGCCAAGGCCGCCAAGGCCGCCAAGGGTGCGGGTAATCCCTACCAGCACCGCCCGCCTGTCGGCCTGTCGGCCTGTTCGCCTGTCGGGATGGCAAAATGCACTAGGGGGAGGGGGGGATGCAGGGCAGCACGTTGGAATAGACAGCACAGCGGGGACAGCTCTCTCTCTCCCTCTCCCTCCCCCCCCTCTCTCTCTCTCTCTCTCTCTCTCTCTTCTCTCTCTCTCTCACTCACTACACACACACACACACGCCCGAGGCGTCCTGAATGGGTGCGAGTGTGACAGGCAGACGGGCCCCGTTCGGAATTAAATTGCAGAAGGACTAGGCCCTCCCCTTCGGTCGCAGCAGCAGCGCGGCAGTCGGTGTCCGTCTCTCTCGCACTTGTGCGCGACGTGTGACGAGTGCGACAGAGATCAGTCTGCAGGACCCCTTGCCTGGTCGGCCTACCCGACTGAGCCCCCCAGCCGCCCCAGCCTGCCTGCTGCAGCCCTCGACCGCAGATCCTGAAACTGCGACGCGCCCCGCCCCGCCCCGCCCCGCCCCACCCCACCCCGCCCCGCCCCGCCCCGCTCCGCCCCGCCCCGCCCCGCCCCGCCTCGCCCCGCCCACTTACCCACTTTGCCTGCCGCTCGGGGCGAGCGCTGCGCTCCTTGATAGAGTCCTCCACCCTGGCCAACTTAACCCCCCACTCCCCCCTTTACCGAAACGCCCTGCCAGGGAATTCCAACTCCATCGGCGGCGAAGTTCACCGACTTCGCGCGGCACGGCAACGCGGCAGAGGCACGGCCGTTGAAAAAGAAAGAAAATACAGTTGCGACAAAAAAATAATCTTGAAACCAAGTGAATTGCAGTGACGGTGACAGGCCTGATGGTCAATTGCTCACGCAGATAATAATTCGGCAGGAATAGCCGCACAGCCTTCGGAAGGGCTGTCGCCGGCTGTCACAGTTTGCAAGGATGGGTATCGGAGTGAGTCGTGTTTCCGCGGGTTTGTTGTAATCTGGATCTGGGCGCCGAGCCGTGGCAGTGACGACACTGCGCACGCACACGGCATCGGGTCATTTGCCGACGCCGGAGTGCCGGAAAAAAGTGCCGATGCCACACCGGTGGCGTGCAGCTGCACTGGAGCGAGGCGGAAAAAAAAGCTTAATCAAAAAACGTCAAAAGTTGACGGTGCTGTGGCACTTGATCGCCATGTGCGACTCCGGCGCCGTCGCCGTCTTGTCCGGGACTCGGATCGGGGAGCAACGTTCTCTCGCACCAGCCGCGAAGCTATTCTCAGAACGATCCGCGCCCGAATTCCCGAAAGTGACCGCGGAAAGCACAAAGTCACTGCCCGCTCCGACTTTTCCTCTGCGGCAGCCGAACATTGCTTCCGACACGCGGTGCTTCGCGTGGGTCATGATGGCTTCCGGAATTAGTCTCTCGGCGCGTGAGGCGTGAAGCACTTCTGCAGCAGCGCGGCGCGCGACGGAGGCAGCCCGCCAGAGCGACGTCAGGGCCGCACGACCATGCCATGGGTTACCGCCGCCGCAGCGCTCGTCCTCGCCGCCACACAGGTTGGTTCCGAGACTGGGGTGCTCCGGGTTCTCTTTCGTATTCCCTGTGACTGCGCGAAGTTACGGTGCACAGTGGGCCAGAAGACCGGCGCAGCGGCCAAAACTCTAGACGCGTTTTGAGCTCCAGAGTCGCCAAACAGGACTCGAAGCGATCGTGTGACCCCACCAATGGATTCCTCGTTCGGAGAGCAAGCGATCGTGTGACCCCACCAATGGATTCCTCGTTCGGAGAGCAAGCGATCGTGTGACCCCACCAATGGATTCCTCGTTCGGAGAGCAATCCATTGGTGCACGCAAAAAAATAAAAGTCAGTCCAGAGCTAACTTTCTTAGTTGGCGTTTTTTAGCACCACAGCTAAAAAAATTGCAACTCTGCTAGCGACCTCTGCTGAGTAGCGCTGCTCCTTTAGTTGAGGGTCTGCCGGAGGTCGGCTTTCCCGGAACCTATATTTCTGGAGGATTCAGCTACCTCAGTTTGCTGCAGTGCTAATCAATGGCTGCAAAAATGGGATTTACAATGCAGCAAAAATGTTTAGGAGATAGGGCAAGGCTACGTTCGTTCCGTGGCGCTTCGCTCGCGCTGGTGGCTAGCAGTGAGAGATGGGTTAGTCGGGGAACGGATGCTCCCCGCGTCCTCACCGTGACATCACCCATGGTCAGCAATTTTTAAAGTCCCTTGAGACTTGACTCTCCCGGAGGAGCCTTACGCCTCAGGACGAATGGTCCGTCTTAGACAGAAAATCCCGCACCTTCTAATAAATATCACAATCATGAAGAATTCTACAATGCTAATGCAGCTAGAGTTGTTTCCAATGCCACTAATCTCCGTTTTCTCCATAGCTAAATTTACCCAGCTAATAATTTTTAGCTGTGCAGCTAAAAATTTTGCTGGGCCTACAGAGCTAGATAAATTAGCACTGGTGCTAACTTTTTAGCTCTGAATCGATTTATTTTTTTGCGTGTGGGGTCACACGTTCGGTTCAAGTCCCATTTAGCGACTCTGGAGCTCAAAACGCGTCTAGAATTTTGGCCGCTCCACCGGTCTTCTGGCCCACTGTGCGGTGCTCTCCCGAGCTTCTGAAGCGGACGCAAAAACAACAGCAGAAAGTCCTCCACCCGCAGTGGCGTGCGCAGAAATTTAGAAAGGGGGGGGTCAGGCCACGCTTTTTGCCTACTTACAGGGGGAAAGTGGCGCAATTTGCCTACCTTTCAGGCGGCTGTCTAGTGGCCAAAGGGGGGGGTCATGACCCCCCTGACCCCCCCCCCCTGCGCACGCCACTGTCCACCCGAAGACCAAAACGGGGCCAGCCGACGGCCGACGGTCTTTGACATCGCGGTTGTGGGTCTGGCTGCGGTTCTCCTTGCGTCCGCTTGCCGCGCTAGGCAGAGCGCTGAGAGCGTTGGCGGCGCAGTGGCCGCTTCGGGACGCCGAGGCCGCCAGCCTCAAGCTGGAGATGCGGCCCAAGTACATCAAGGCGTGCGAGCTCCCCAACAACGCCATCGAGAACCTCCACGTGGTGTACGACATGGTGGGCCGTGACGTCACCTTCTCCCTCAACGGCACCGTGAGCCGCAGCGTCCCCCGCTGGACCAAGGCAAGCAGGGCAAGCACGCCGTCAACAACCGGGGGTGACTTTCGGGTCGTCTCGAGGCGCCCCGGCGTGACACGACTACTTGTGCGTGATACAGATCAGGCTGACCGCCGACAAGTGCGACGAGGTGGTGTCGAACAGCAGGTGCGCGCCGTTCAAGACCTTGGACTTCGGCGACGCCGCCGGCTGCATGGCCATGATGAACAAGAACATGCCTTGGTCCAAGATCGTCAGCGACCTGCGTCCGAAGCTCAGCTGCCCCGCCACCAAGGTGAGTGTCCACTGTTGACGGAGGAGTCGTTGGCATGAAAAGTTTTTGTCCGAATTGCATCGTGCCGGCAGGCTAACTACACGCTGCGCAACGGCATGCTGTCCATGGAGGCCCTCAACAGCCTGGCCTCGACGTACCGCCTGGAGGGGCCCATCTGGCGGGTGCGCGCCATCTTCCTGGAAGCCAAGGGCGCCCTGCACTGTTGCTTCGAGGGGGCGGGGGAGTTCTTCCGCGTGCGGAGCCGGCCGTCGGGCTGACACCACACCGCATGAAGCCACGTCGTCTTAGACCGGAATCAGCCGAAAATTCGCTTACCAAACCCTGATCTTTATTTCACAGAGTGCATGCCGGCTGGCAGGCCACGGCCCGCACAAAGGCGCACTGCCGCGAGGACACGCAGGCAGGCCAGCAGAGCAGGGGGCAGGGTGCAGTGCGGGGGAGAAGATTAGGAGACAAAGGAGCTGCATAACGGTAGTGGGTAGAGACGGAAGAGATTGTGTGTGTGAGAGAGAGAGAGACAGCGAGGATGAGAGAGCGCGGCACGGCTGGCGCGCCGCACAGTGGGCCAGAAGACCGGTGGAGGCGGCCAAAACTCTAGACGCGTTTTGAGCTCCAGAGTCGCTACATAGGGCTCGAACCGAGCGTGTGACCCCACCAACGGATTGCTTTCCAAACGAGGAATCCATTGGTGTGGTCACGCGTCCGGTTCGAGTCCCATTTCGCGACTCTGGAGCTCAAAACGCGTCTAGAGTTTTGGCCGCCTCCACCGGTCTTCTGGCCCACTGTGCGGCGGAGCGCGGAGCGCCGGGAAGGTGGGCACCGCGGCGACGCGGCGACACGGCGGTGCGGCGGGGCAGGCTATCCCACGGACCGCAGGCGCTACGCGGCGCTACGGGACGGGTGCAGCGGCGCGGAGCAGGAGCTGCTGCCGCTGGCTGGGGAGTGGAGTGGGGGTGGGGGGTTTATTATGACAAAAGGGATGCCACGACACGTGGCGAAGCGACGCCCCGCCCGCGACGCCCCAGCCGCGTGGAGGCGCGCGGAGGCACGGCTCGCCACGCCACGCTCCGCGCCGCACCGCGGGCAGCGTTGAGCCGTGAGCGGCATGAGCAGCGTGAGCGCAGGGATGCTGTGGGAAAATCAATACGGGCGAGGGTGGGGGCAGGGTGGGGGGAGGGGGTGGGGGCGGCGCGAAGGAGTCGAGGGGGGCGGCGCGAGGAATACAAGGAGTACTAGGGATACAGGGGCACCGGATTAAAGTCGGAGCGAGACGCGCGACCCGTCGTGAAGGGCTTTCACGTCAGCGGGCATCAGCGCAGCACAGCTGCCAGGGGATCTGCACGTCAGCGCGGCGGGCGCGCCGAGCTTTCTCGTTGCGTCCTCGACGGGGTTGTCGCGCCGGGGGCAGAGAGAGAGGCAAGGAGAGAGAGAAGAAGAGAAAGAGACAGAGAGAGAGGGGGGGCAAGGATAGAGAAGGGAGAAACCGAGAGGCAAGGAGAGAGAGAAGAAAGAGAGAGAGGCAAGGAGAGAGAGAGAGTGAGTGAAAGAGGGAGAGAGAAGGGAGGGACAAACAACTTGGCGACTGCGCCGCACACAGCCGAGGAGTCATGGTGGACTGGGTTGATTTATTGCAGCCTGTGCAGCACCAGGTGAGGGTGAGGGTGATGGGCAGGAGGGGCGAGGGCAGGGGGATGCGCCACCTGCAAGAACGCCTCGCCACGCCTCGCCACGCCACGCCACGCCACGCCACGCCTCGCCTCGCCTCGCCTCGCCTCGCCACGCCTCGCCACGCCACGCCACGCCTCGCCACGCCACGCAACGCCACGCCACGCCTCGCCTCGCCTCGCCACGCCACGCCTCGCCTCGCCTCGCCACGCCTCGCCTCGCCTCGCCACGCCACGCCACGCCACGCCACGCCACGCCACGCCACGCCACGCCACGCCACGCCTCGCCTCGCCTCGCCACGCCTCGCCTCGCCACGCCACGCCACGCCACGCCACGCCACAGACGACGTCCAGCCCCTGCCCCCTCCCCCTCCCCCGAGCACCTCGGCCCGCTCAACCAGCCCGGCCCTTCCCTTCGCACTTGCAGCCCTTCCCAGCCCTTCCCGCGGCCATCCGCCGAGTCATTTATCATTTCCCCGGGCCGAACTTGTTGGCCGGGGAGATCCTTTCACTTTACACGGTTTTTCCAACAGATTGCTCCGCCGCCCCTGCCCCCCCCCCCCTACCCCCACCAGACCAGCCGACGGAGCTTTAATGGTCTGGCATAATCTTTTAAATTAACCGTGCCGTGTCTTTTATTGTTTCCCACGGGCGCCCCGCTGCTGTGCGCCCCGCGCCCCGCCACTGGGCTGCTAGTTTCACCCCCTAGTCCCTGTCCCTGCCTGTCCCAGTCCACTTCGGCGGCCTCCGCTCCGCGACACAGTGGGCCAGAAGACCGGTGGCGGCGGCAAAAATTCTAGACGCGTTTTGAGCTCCAGAGTCGCTAAATGGGACTCGAACCGAACGTGTGACCCCACCAATGGATTGCTCTCCGAACGAGGAATCCATTGGTGGGGTCTGACGCTCGGTTCGAGTCCCATTTAGCGATTCTGGGGCTCAAAACGCGTCAAGAGTTTTGGCCGCCTTTACAGGTCTTCTGGCACGTGCGCGACGTTCCCTCTCCCGAGTCGCGCCTTGCTCTTTCCCCTTCCTCTCCGCCCCGCGGCTTAAGCCTCCGCCACCTCGTAAGCCCTTCGAGTCAAGGCGCTAACCCGCCGCCGTGGGCGCGCGCACACTCACACACACAGACACACACATCCGGAGCGCGGGAACGGGCGGCACGCAACACCTACACCGCAAGCGACCGCAAGGTTTTAATCGAGCGGCGTGCGGCGCGCGCGCGCTTTCCCGCCAACACGACAAACGGCTTAAACTGTCGCGCGGTGGTGCGGTGGCGCGGTGGTGCGGTGGCGGGCTGGCTAGGCGCGGGCGCCTCCCCCTCCTCTTCCTCCACAGCAGACACGTACAGTCAATCATTTCCATATTCCATCGCGGCCCGCGACGCGCGCCCCGTCATCGGCAGCCAGTCCGACAACGAGCAATAACGCGAACCCCGGCCGGCCCGCCGCCGCCGCACTTCGCACCCCGTGCCGGTCTGCCCCTCCCCCCCCCTCTCTTTTCCACCGGCGGCGGGGCGCACCGTCGTCACCCAAGGACGGGAGGAGACCTCTCGATATTCTGCGCGACATCCACTTTGCCATTTCAATTTCCTGATGCTTCGATTGAGGCGCCTCTCCCCTCCTCTTCGGCCACGGGAGCAGACTCGCTCCTGGCTGCCCGTCTGCCCTCTGCCTGTGCGTCTGTCTGTCTGTCTGTCTGTCTGTCTGTCTGTCTGTCTGTCTGTCTGTCTGTCTGTCTGTCTGTCTGTCTGTCTGTCTGTCTGTCAGTCAGTCAGTCAGTCAGTCAGTCAGTCCGTCTGTCTGTCTGTCCGTCTGTCTGTCTGTCTGTCTGTCTGTCTGTCCGTCCGTCCGTCCGTCTGTGTCTGTCTGTCTGCCTGCCTGTTGAGGACGTCCTTCCCTATCTCCGCCGTGCCTCTCTCGAAACGCAATCAGGAGGACGAGTCTGGCGTGGGCGTGGTGCGGCGTGGTGGTCTTGGCGCCAAGCCTGCCCGGTCCGCACCGCACCGCGCGCCCTGCCACCTGATAAAGAGCAGCACAGTTGGTCCGTCCTCCTCTGCAAAGCACGAGGCAGGCTCCCCCCCCCCGTATTCCAGAAAGTGCCATCCGATGACGTCATCGTCATTACCCGGCTCGTAATTAGAGTGGCCAGCGACAAAGCGGCGGCACGGCCCGCCACGACCTGCCATCGTTATTCCGAGCGTTATTCGCGCGAGAGGGGGGGAGAGACTGAGATGGATCAGATGCTCTTTTTGGAGGGCATCCGCGTAGGTGGGAGAGAGACAAATCCATCAATAACCCTCAACAATTTCGGATATTTTCACCCCTCCTCTGGAAAGTGTCTTTTTCTTCCGTTTTTACCTGTAGCATGGTGGCTAATTGCGCTAGAGGACTGCGTTTTGGACCCTTCTTGGCGCGATCACCCATCCCAACCGAAGTCGGTCTCTTCCCTCGGCCCCTCAGGCCTCTCCACTGCACTAGACTCGCGGGCGCTGCGGCGAGGACTAGCGAGAGCCTCTCTCTATCGGGGTCGGTCCCGCCGGCCGGTCTAATCTAAAGAATCTTGCCCGCCAAAGAGTGGAAGTGTGTCCAAGTGTCGCCGACGCAGTGCACCAGTGGGACGGCGTGAAAACGCCCACGAGAAGGCGTCGCCTACTTTTATCTCTGGTGGAAAAAAAAACCGCGTTGACAGGTGTGGAATGGTGTGTCAGTTAAGGAAACAAACGCAAATTATCGACAAAAGTTTACGACGGAAGCGGTCCCAGTAGTCAGTCCGCCGCGGGGCTCAGACGTGTTTGCTGTGGCCGACGGGCCCCGTGGGGTTCCGAATAATTGGTGGAAGCGATTGAGTATCCGGTGGGACTGCTCAAAAAGTGGCCGCGTGGCGTGAACTTGTTTGTTTCTGTTGATGGGGCTGGCGGCTAACGCGGCTAACGCCTCGCGCGTCGTGGCTCTGGGGGCGACTGACCGGTTGCCCAGTGTTCTGCCGCTCCGCCGCGCTGCCATGCCGCCTCGCAGCTCACATTTCCACGCCCCTAAAAGCCGTTGCTCGAGGGGTGACCCACTGTGAAAATCAGTGTACAACGAGTGTGGGAATGTGTTGGAATGTGCAAGATTTCTGCTGTATTTGTCACACGTGTTGCCTACTTACAGGCGATTTTCCCTCCAGGTTGAGGGAATGTGTTCAAATTTTGTACAATGAATGTGGGTAGTTGTTCCCCCCTCGACATTGCTCGTCTCTCTGTCTCGAGCGACGAAGCGCTTACTTACCACGAGCCCCCTGATCTGGCTGACGAGCGGCGAGCTGGACAGGAAGTTCTGCACGGCGCTCACGATGTTGTTCTGGGGCGCCTGCTGATGCTGCTGCTGCCCCTGGCCTTGGCCCTGGCCGTGCGGGCCCGCCGACGCGGGCCGCTCACCGCCCCACGGACGCACCAGCCTGCAGGACGACAAGAGGAACGGGATGAAGGCGGCGACACGACGAGGTCGAGGGGCGCGGCACAGTGGGCCAGAAGACCGGTGGAGGCGGCCGAAACTCTGGACGCGTTTTGAGCGCCAGAGTCGCTAAATGGGACTCGAACCGAACGTGTGACCCCACCAATGGATTCCTCGTTCGGAGAGCAACCCATTGGTGGGGTCACACTCACACGTTCGTTTCGAGTGCCATTTAGCGACTCTGGAGCGCAAAACGCGTCTGGAGTTTTGGCCGCCCGCGCCGGTCTTCTGGCCCACTGTGCGCGCGGGGTGCTGCTTGGCCTCGGGCTTGGCCCGTTGGATGAGTCGCGCTGTGGTGCCGACAGTGCCAACCCTCCCGGCGGCAATGGCTTCATGAACTAGGAACAGCGACATGCACCGCCGCGCGCCAGCAGCCAGCCAGCCATCCCATTCACAGCGCCCATTTCATTTCCCGCTCCACTGCCCACAGAGCCCCGTGCCTGCGCCCAGCTAAAAAATGCAAAAAAATGCAAAATACAATGCAAAAGAGAAAAAACGCTGAAAAAGACCGGTATGCTTGAATGTCTCTAATTTCGACCAATGACACGAGAGAACTAGAGGCAGGGAGAAGAAGTTCGGGCGAGCAGAGTGCCCGGTGTTCCCCGAGCGGGCGAGCCGCGGAATGGAACGACCCCTTCGGACCGATACAGCCCTCTTATTCTGGCCGCGTCCTCCGCTGCCCCGTGCTGAGAATGCCGGGGCGGGGCGGGGCGGGGCGGGGCGGGGCGGGGCGGGGCGGGGCTGGGTGGGGCGGGGCTGTGTTATTGGACCACCTGTATCGGCCACGGTGGAGGAACACGATCGGGATGAGCATCGGCGAGGCCACCACTACTGCAGGCAAGGTTTTTCGTTATGTCAGCGCTCCGCGTCGTCTTGCTGGACGGCAGAGATTTGATTAAAAGGTGAAAACGAAGCAAATAAACGGCTAAATGCTAGTGAAAATGGCAGTCTCACATCCATAGGAAGTAGCGACCAATCCCACGCGGCAAGACTCTGGGCGTTTCGGAGACGGGAAATGGAAGGGCAAGCCGCGCGGCAAGGGTTGATCATGCCGGCGGTGACAACTTATTGTTATGCCATTTTCCTCCATCCCTCGCACTTCGTTTGACAGAGGTCCGTCTCGGTGTGACGTGCTTTCGACACTTCTGTTCCGACGGGGTCTGGCGGTGCGCGCCGCGAGGCCGCCGGGGACGGCGGGGACGGCGGGGACGGCGCACGGAGGACTCGTAGTGCACCAGCATGCTTGTACTTACTCGAGTGTCGACGCGCACGTGGATGGAAGGGCCGCCTTGCCGGCACCGTGGACTCGCCCTCACTGGCGGGTGGCGGGCGGCGCTGGCGGCCTGGCCGAGGGGCGGGGCGGGGCGGGGCGGGGCGGGGCGGGGGGGCGCGGGGCGGGGCGGGCGGGCGGGGCGGGGCGGGGCGGGGGGGGCGGGCACCCTGCGGCCCCCGCCGCCCCCAGCGCCGCCGCCACCCCCAGTTGCGCCGAACAAGGAGCTGCCTTCGGCTGCGCTCGGCGAACCTTCGGCCTCCCCACCCCCACGGCCGGCACGGCCGGCACGGCCCCGCCTGCAGGCCTCCGCGACCCCCGCCCCCTCCTCGCCGTGACGGGCTCACGGCCTGACCCTTGCCGTCCTTTGATCTTCGGGCCGAGTCTCCGTGTCCAGGGGTCTCCAGCGGCGGGGCCTCCAGGCCTGCCTCGCTCAAACGGAGTCATTAGCTCGGCCGTAGCGCCGCGTAGCGCCGACCCGAAGGGACGCCGAACCAGACGACCAAGACTCTGACCTCTCTCTCTCTCTCTCTCTCTCTCTCTCTCTCTCTCTTTCTCTCTCTCCCTCTCTCTCTCTCTCTCTCTCTCTCTCTCTCTCTCTCTCTCTCTCTCTCTCTCTCTCTCTCTCTCTCTCTCTCGCACTCATGAGACGTCCCACATGGGTTCGAGAGAGACAGTCCGACGGGCGCGCTGCGCGGAGTGTTTCTGCAGGGCGGGACCGAGCTCTGCAACTTGTTGACCGTCCCCCACGCCCCGCAACACAGCCCACGTCGGCGGCCCGAGGCCTGCTTGGCCTGCTCCACCAGCGTGGCCACCGCGTGCTGTACGCCTGCCGCGCAGGCAACCCACTGCCCCCGCTACCCCACCCGATGGGTTGCCAGGCGGGTGCGCACGCTCGTCGCCCGAAGGACAAGGAACCTGGCCGCGCCCTGGCGGTGCACAGGCGGCAGCAGCGGCAGCTCGTCTCTGCCTCGGTTTCTGGGCCAATGCAAGTCTGGCCTGGGTGTTTTCCTATACCAGGGGTCTCAGACGGGCGGCCCGGAGCTCGGGTGCCACACGGCCCGCAGCGGGCCGCAATGGGAAAGATAGGCGGGCCAGACTCGGGCCGCACAGGTCCAGGCTGGCTGGGCGGCGGCGCGCTGCCTCGTCGCCCAGCTGTCAAACGTGTCAACCGGCCGGCTCGCCGTGGCTGGCCGGCATCTCTCTCGCACTCACAAGGCCATATGGGAGGAACAAGGACAGACAGTCAGCCCGTGCGGCCGAGGCAGCGCAGCGCTGGGTCGCCGCCGTCGCCGCTGCCGTGCGGCTGGGTCGAGTCCGGCGTGTCACACCTTCGCCGCCTCACTCATTTCATCTCCTATCTCTCTTCTTTGCCTTTCTCTCTCTCTATGCGGCCCGCAAGCCATGCTCACTCTGAGACCCCTGTCCTATACTGCCGAGCACAGTTAGACCGATCCAGGTGGTGTCGTCAAGGGTTTCGCCGAGCTACGTCTCGTGCAACCCTTACGACGGCCGCATGCCGCATGACTGCGAGAGCGACAGAGTGACTGTTGGGAATCCAGACGGACGTGGATTTTCGCGCAGTCCCCGTTGCTGCCTGCTGCCCCGCCCGAGACACAACGAGACACGACTTGGACCGACCCGCCAGCCTCGTGACCCCTTGTCCTCTGCTGGGCTGGGGCATGGCCGGAGCGGGGTGGAGTGTACGTGCGTGTGGAAGGCGGGAGAGAGGGGGGGCATGTGGGTACCCGCGTGCGCCGTGGGGCCAGATCCGGGATTGAGTTCGAGAAGAATCATTTTCCGCGAGTTTGGGTCAGTATTTCGAGGAAGCGTGTTTGAACGAACCAAAACGAAAACGACGCTCACTCGTTTCTATAATCTCAATTTGTTTTTATTTTCCTAATTTGTTTTTTCGCACAGATATATCACAGAATGTTTTACACTATTCGAGGCCCATATCGCTGGTGGATGGGGCCAGAAAGCACACAGAGACACTTGTTCTTTGGGATGGACTGCTCTCCGACGGGAGCGGCGAGGGCGGCGAGGGCGGTGAGCCGGGCGAGAAGGACAGGGCGGACGTCGGGGAGGTTCGTGCGTCAGGCCTTCTTGCCCAGGACGAAGATGTCTGCGATGGGCACCCGGCTGAACACGCGGTGCGTCACCTCCTTGACCACGCCGCTGAAGGCCTCCTCGAACGCGCTGCCGATCTCCTCGAAGATGAGGAACGCGTTCTGGTTCATGAACCTGTTGAGCTGCTCGCCTGCGACCGAGAGAGAAAGAGCGTCTATGGGACTCCGTCAGTAGGCGGGGCTGCGACAGAGCTCCTTCTGGAACTGTCTCCAGGCTGATTCTGAACCAGGGCCGCTCTCGCTCACACCTTTTCGGGACGCCCCAGGCCCATGAGTGCGAGTGAGACGGAGTGAGACGACAAAGCTCTGGTTCGGAATCGGCCCGCTGCACGCTGCACAGTGGGCCAGAAACCGGCGGCGCAGGCGGACAAAAATCTAGACGCATTTTGAGCTTCAGAAACGCTAAATGGGCCTCAAACCGAGCGTGTGACCCCACCAATGGATTCCTCGTTCAGAGAGCAATCCATTGGTGGGGTCACACGTTCGATTCAAGTCTCATTTAACGACTGTAAAGCGCAAAATGCGTCAAGAATTTTGGCCGCCTGCGCCGGTTGCTGGCCCACTGTGCGCTGGCTGCAATTGTCCTGAGGCTTGTCCTGAGGCCATCCAGTCCTGGTCCTGGAGGACAAGACGCCCTGCCGCTGGCCGGGTAGCCAGCAAGCCAGCAGGACCGGAGGGCGAGACGTCTGGGACTCGTCCTCGTCCCCAAGGCCGCCCGTCTGCCAGCCCCGTCGGTCGACCCTGCCTACCAGCACGGACTGCAGCACCGCGGTGATGCAAGCCAATGCAAGTGTGTTCACTTCACTAGGGCGTTGATCTTGGCCGCCAGGAAAGTTCCGAAGCGCCACGCGGCCACGCCACGCCACTCGCCCGGACAAGTTTGGGCTCCGGGCTGCAGTATCGGGAATCGGACGGGGCGGGAAGCGTATCGCGACCGCAGTCGGCGTCGTAGTCTCGCTGAGTGTCGCGCGGAACCGGCTGTTTTCGGCATTGGGTATTCGGTAGCAAGGAACGGACTACTGTTTGATTTGGCGCCAGAGATAGCGGGCTGGGCGGGGCTGGGCGTGTCTGAGACACTGTCTCGGCGGTGCGGTTCGAACAGGTTCGGATCGAGCCATCCACGTCGTTTTTCTTTACCGAGGTTCGCGTCGCCGCGGCCGTCGCTGAAGAGGCCCTGGAAGTCGATGCTGATGTTCTTGGGGACGAACTTGACGTAGTAGTCCTGAATGTTCCAGTAGAGGTTGTCCTTCTTCATCTTGGGCACGAACTTGAGCTTGTGGCCCGTGAGCAGTTGGGCTGGAGAAGGGACAGAGTTCAGTCGTCTGCCAGCAGATTGATTTCGCTGTCGTCGCTCGGTCTCTCCGGCGCTGACACGGGGTGGCCCACGAGTGCGAGAGAGACAGAGCGACGGCGCCAGAGGGAGGGCCTTACTCAGGGTGATGCTGCCCGGGCCGGCGCCCCGAATGGGCAGCAGAAGCAGGCGGCCGGTGATGACGTGGTCGAACTCGAGGCGCAGGGAGCGCGTCAGCGACGCCGTGTCCAGGGTGGCGTCGGCCAGGTTGGCGCTGCGGACACAGGACACACCAAGTTATCAAAGTTTCCTTGGCCTCACTCCTCCTTGGCGGGGCCAGGCGGGGCACTGCACTGCACGGTGAAGCGCCGCACCTGTAGTTGAGCATCTTGGTGTCCGCCAGCCCGGTGATGGTGATGTTCCTCAGGTCCATGTTGAGGCTGACGGAGCCGCCGCCCTGGTTGATCTTGATTCGGTCCACCTTGAGGGGGTCCACGGGCAGCACGCCCAGACTGGGCACTCCTGAGACATGACAGACGTGACCCGGGGTTCGAGCACTCACATTTGACGCTGTTGCTCGCTAGAGCGGTCGGGGAAGTCCCTTACCGTTCACCATCTTGTGGAAGGCGTCCTCGACGGCGCCCCGCAGGCACTCGTTGAACTTGGGGTCGGCGGCGGCGCAGCGCTTGAAGTTGGACGCTGCGGGCAAAGCAAAGGCTTTCAGGGCGTTTCACAGTGCGGTCGCTGCTGCTACCGCTGCTGCAGGCCGTGGGGGCTTTTTCCAGGCAATAAGGCACCCGCCTGGCGCGTGGCTGGCGGCCTAGCTGCGTCCGAAGGGCCACACGGCCAGGCCTTCGTCGCGTGCGCTGGGATGCTGTGCGCTGCGTGCTGCACACGCACACTCTCGGACGCGTCCAACGGGTACGAGCACCGAGCGGGGCGGGGCGGGGCGGGGCGGGGCGGGGCGGGCGGGGCGGGGCGGGCGGGCGGGGCGGGGCGGGGCGGGGCGGGGCGGGGCGGGGCGGGGCGGGGCGGGGCGGGGCGGGGCGGAGCGCGTACGGACGGCCATGCCGCCGGCAAGTCCTGCAGGTCCTGCAAAGTCGCCGGCCGCGCGTGGCGCTGTGGCCGTAACCCAGTCCGCGACACAGTCTCTCTCTCTCTCTCTCTCGCACCCATGGGCCGCCCCGTATGGGTGGGAGCGAGACAGACCGACGGCCCACTCGAAATGAGCCTGCAGCCCCTTGCATGTCGACGTCGATGTCGGCGGAGCAGGTGGAGCAGTTAGACCGATCCCGAGAGTCTTTTTCGTCGGTGCGTCTCTCTCGCACTCATGGGGCCTCCTTTACATGTGCGAGAGAGACAGTGAGGCGATAACGACTCTCGGAATGAGTCTAAAGCCAGAGGCGGAGTAAAGCGGGGGCTCATCAACCAGGCCGTGGCACCGCGTTGCGTTGCATTGCAACACGGTGACCGTGGCGAGGCCGGCCCGCTTCACCCGCCTCACTTTCAGGCACAGATTGTGCAAATGCAGTGGCCAGTGACTTCTGGGGGAATTCCACAAGTACAATGAACTGGAAGGTGAGTCCGTTTCAGACACACGCCAAGACACTTTTAGAAGCGAAAAAAAAGGAAGAAAAACGGGCACAGATTGTGCAAATACAGCGGCCAGTGACTTCTGGGGGAATTCCACAAGTACAATGAACTGGAAGGAGAGTCCGTTTCAGACACACGCCAGACACTTTTAGAAGCGAAAAAAAGAAGAAGAAAAATAGTAACAAAGCTTAGCAAAGTAGCAAAGTAACAAAGTAACAAAGCAAGGGCCTTTACAAAAATGTTATGTCCCAAAGCAAAACCTTCAGCAACCTTAGAAACTTCACCTTGAGTAACCTTAAGTAACATGAAGTAACTCGTTCACCACAATACGAAATGTATTAAGAGTTCGATACAGTACGCAGTCACGAGTAAACATTGTCATCTCATCAAGACCATTGAATTAAACCGCAAACCGCACATGAGAAGACCGACCACATTCTGCTCAGATGCGGCAGAAAAATAACGTGCGGTAAAGTGATCCCGCTCCCCATCTTAGCATCCCGTTGAAGACAGTCGGGTCCTGGACGCGACGTCCGCCCTGGAACTGTCTAGAACTGTCTGGAAGATTCGGACCGCGTGCTGACGACATTACGCCCCACTTTTCCACCGGCGGCTAATCAAAGGGCACAGCTGCTTTCGCTTTCTTTAATGGACGGAAGACTACGACACATTCTTTTAGCCCTGCCGTGCAAATTGCCTGCTTCTAGTGCTTTGAGAAGTCTCCACGCGAATCGGACCACATCGTGCCTTATTTTGGCTCCAGACGTACACCCTCGTCGTGCACCCTTCGCTTGCGAAGGCGAGACGACATTCACCCTGTGACATTGATTGTTCTCGGATGTTCTGGCGCTCGGCGAGCGTACTTACGCAGCTTGGAGGCGGCCTGGGCCGTGGGCACCGTGCTCAGGACCATGGCGGCGACCGCCACCAGCAACCACTCGGGGCGAGCCATGGCGACGCTTGGCGCTTCGAGACCGTCTTGACCGGAGCCGAATCGGGAGCTCCTGGAGTCTCCGGTGCTCTCGGAACGAATGCTGTGGTATCAGCGACTATTTTACTTGTTGACAGGCTGCGGCTGGGGCTTGCGGCTGCGGCTGCCCCCGCCGGCTGGGTGGGGAGGGAACACACAGGCGCGAAGCGCGCGCGCGCAGCATGCCCCACCACCCGGTGCGGTACCGTCCACTAGTCCACTACCGTGCTGGCGGGGCTGGCCACCCCCCCCCCCCCCTCCTCCCCCTAACCGGCCAGCCCCCTAGAGCGCCTAGCTTCGGGGCCTCTACTCCACGACAAATCCAGCCAGGGGCTGTGGAGCCCATCATCACGGCGGTCACGTGACAACGGAAAGACACGAGAAGCATGCGTCTTGTTCTCCAGACAACTGCAATAATGAACGGACATAGCGAAGATGGCGAAGCGCATCATGCACTGATAGAAAAGATGCTGTTAATTAACAGCATATATCCTGTTAAGTTTTTTAGCAACACTTGTTGTAGAAGAACGGCATATTGTTGGACACTGAGTCGTTATCCAACAGCAGTGTTGTAAAAAGGGATGATGGCTCTCTGTATCTGATCTCTGACAATAAGTTGTTGTGTAACAGAATTACCATTTCCAAATGGCACCAACCTGTTCATAAACAACACTTTTCTGTTTTCAAACAAAGAAGTTGTTATACACAAAAAAAATGTCGAGGGTCCTAATAGTCTTATCCAATACTAGCAGTCATTCAGAAACGCTCTTTTCTGTTTACAAACAGCACTGTTCTTCAACGCGGTCTCTCTGTTATTCACAAAAAGGAAATAGGAGTTTCCTGACGGCTCAAACAAGACATTTGTTTTGTAACAGTTCGTGCAGTTCTTACACAGTTCACCGCTGTTTAAAAATTGGAAGTGTTGCTAAAAAACTTTACAACACAAATGCTGTTCAGAAACAACAGAATTTATTTTGACATAGTTGGAGTTTGATTTGAGCCGTGAGCTGCAAAATGCTCCGGCAAATCTTCGCATGAATGGTGTTGTTTTTAAGGGGGGAGACTCGTCATTCTCCTTCAAAAAATCAGATTTTTGTTTTTGAGTTTTTTGAATTCTTTGTGTCAAACCCTTGAATTGGGTGGCTGGCTGGTTTTGAAATTCAAAACCGTTTGGCCAAAGGACGACATTTTGTAATTTATTTTCCACAGGATAGGTTAGACCGTTCAAACTTTGGAGCCATTTTACTCAATTGCAATATTTTGGGTCTTGCGCGCACGATTTAAGCCAGACCGTTGATTGTATTGACTTCATAATTTTTCCAATGTTTCACCTCCATAAGGCCGTCAGTCTGAACTAGGATATCTTCAATCGGACAAGCGGAAGTGGCCGAAAACGGTTATGGAAATGTTTAAATTTGAATGCTTTCTTTCGTACACCTTAAAATGTAAGTTTCAGGCACTTAGGAACCACCTATTTCAATTATCCTAGTTCAATCTAGAGTGCCGGGAGTCCTTTTGAAGGAGCAACAAAGACATTTATGATATGATGCCTCATTCTCCAAAAATCATGCGCGCAGTGAATTTTTGTCGTATTTTCGAGGTTTGGCAGAAAGATTACAGATCCTAGGTTATGAGGCCTAGAGTCAAACTTTTTTTTCCAAAATGAACCTTAAAGAACCAGCTTTTTATTGGAAAACCCCACTGACCCTCAAATCTATTGGAAATAGTTTTCATGTAAGCCTGAAATTTGCTAAAATTATGGTGTTAAAGACGAGTCTCCCCCCTTAAATGACAGGATACCGTTCCAAAACAGCATATATCATTAATTTTACAAACAAGATGTTCTGTTTTCCAGCATTGGAAATCGACTATATTTGTTGTTTTCTCCAATGATGAAACTTGCTGTTTCCTAACAGCATTTGTGCTGTTTTAAGTTCCGATGACACGTGCTGCTTAAAAGCAAATCACTCGTTGGTAAATGTGCTGTTTTCCTACAGTTTCTTTTAACAGTGTGGCTTTCGGTGGACGAACGCCCAGGCCTCGTGGTGCCCGACAGTCCCGCCAGTTGCGTCAATCCACGCCCGGCCCGGTCAGGTCGCTTCCAAGGAGATTCCAAGTCTGGCCGAAAATCTTCCAATCCTCTTTGCTTGTTTCTGGGCATCTGATTTGTTCATCAGTTCTTTGGTGTCGCGATGGAGTCGAACTGGTGTGAGCGTCATCACTTTCGCAGTACAATTCCTTTTTCTTTCGTCGGCCGTCTTTGCCCTGCGCAAAGAGGATCGGGAGTCGAACCGCTGTGAGCGTCATCATTTTCCCGGTAATTCCTTTTTGTTTCGTGTTTACCAAGGGCAAAGTGAATCGGTAGGTCTTTGGCGCTCGTGGCGTATAGCGCACAATGTACATACACTAGTGGGTGCTTGTGGTAAACCGAGACCAGAAGGCAAACGAAGTATTTCTGGATTCGGGGGAAGTCTTTGCACCTGTCTTAATTTGCACACTGCACCTACCGCGAGATTGTGGACGGGTCGCCAAGCTGTCCGTTCCGTTCGTCACCCAGCGTCACTGCTCGATAAAAAGCGAGGCGCCGAGTACTCAGCACCATTCCACCATTCAACGACCGATCATCGCCACCATGGCTCGCACTCTGCTCGCTTTGATGGCGCTGGCCGCCGTGACCGTCACCGCCGAGGTGACCAACTGGGACCCGGACTGCATCCAGGAGCCGGTGGGCTTCGGCAGGGGCACTGTGGGCGGCGAAGGAGGTACACTGGGACAGGCCACGGTTGCCACGGTGGAGACTGTCGCCTGCCACAAGGATGATCGCACTGCAACTTTGTCCTTCCACAGGAAAGACCGTCACGCCCAAGAACATCAAGGAGCTCAAGAACTTGCTCAAGGACGACGTGCCCCGCATCATCCTGCTCGACAAGACGTTCGACTTCACGGGCTCGCAGGGCCTCGCCACCAGCGACGGCTGCTTCTTCAAGAAGTGCGGCCCCGGCTTCCAGTACTCGCTGGCCCAGTCCGACACCTGCGACGGCCGGGAGATGACCAACGTGAGTCCGCCACTGCCGCCTGCCCCCCCCCCCTGCCTTAGTGCCTCGGCGGCCACCAAGTGACGTGCTCTCTGCTCGCTCTGCTCCCCAGGTGACCTACGACGCGGCCGGCCCAGAGCCCCTCAACGTGGGCTCCTTCAAGACCATCATGGGCGTGAACGGCAAGGGCGTGCTCCGCGGCAAGGGCCTCAAGATCAGGAAGGCGCAGCAGGTCATCATCAGGGACATCAGCATCGTGGACATCAACCCCGCCGTCATCTGGGGCGGCGACGCGCTCACCTTCAACGGCGTGGACCAAGTGTGGATCCACAACGTCACCTTCAAGGTAGCTTTAGGGCTGCTCCCCTCGCTGCAGCATGCTTGCCCTCCGAAAGCCAAACTAACGCGTCATTGCCCCCAGAACATCGGGCGCCAGTTCCTGGTGTCGTACCAGACCAGCAACACGGGGGTCACCGTGTCCTCCTGCACCTTCGACGGCCACACCACCAACTCGGCCTACTGCGACGGCAAGCACTACTGGGTGTGGCTGTTCTGGGGCACCGACGACCGGATCACCCTCATCAACAACAAGATCGTCAACACGAGCGGCCGCCTGCCGCACGCCGGTGGCTACTTGGGCTCCAAGGTACAGTGCATACAGTAAGACGGAGCCGCAGTCACACACAACACCTCGAACCCGCCAATGTAAACGGAAACTTTGCAGAACTTCATCCACATCGTGGGCAACCACTTCGACGGCAACTCGGACGTGGCCCTGGAGCCCTGGGACGGCGCGCTGCTGCTCGTGGAGGGCAACCGCTTCTGCGGCATGAGCAACCTGGTCAACAGCCACGCCACCAACGGCAACGTGTTCCTGGTGAGCACGGCGACGCAGGCGGCGCGCTGCGAGGCCGCGTTCGGCGAGGACTGCCTCCGCAACGCGTACCACGACACCCAGCCCGTGCGGCGCTGCAACGGCCACGTGCTGGAGGAGGCCCTGGCCATGGACCTGTGCCCCGAGGCCATCAACGACGCCCGCCGCGCCGTGTGCATGCCCGTGCCCGACCCGGCCGAGCTGGTGGACAGCTGGCAGGACTAGCAGCACCGCGACCGCTTTCTAAAGAGTGTCGCACTCTAATCCTTAGAATACAGTAATAAAACATCAACTGTGTTTTGCTGATAGCCCTAAAGAACTGCAGTCCGCAAGGGTGTGCAACGTCCCCAGCCGTGCTCATCTTTTCTCTCCCCTAGAGCACTTTCCCGGCCCAAGGGTATTTCACCTACCAGAGCATTTCTCCCACCTGAGATCATTTCTACAGTCAAAGAACCGGCAGCTCTTGTGATAAAGGCCAGCAGCGCCTGAGCTTGTGTCGGGCCCGAAATGGCATACGATCATGTGTGGTCTAGCCCTTAATGGCAATAGTAATGGTGAGGTAGGCCACCCTCCAGTCCCGCAACACACTGGCGTGGAGACGGCGGCCTACCTTGCCCCTGTAAAGACCGTGCTAGTGCTGCCCTCTACCAACCGGCGATGAAAGTTGACGACGGGCAGCAGAACCAGTTCCAGCTTAATATTCTTTATCTCCAAGTAAGGCGTTATTTTCTTATATTGTAATCAGTGACATGGCTTTGTCCCCCCTTTAAGTGCACTCATGTGTTATGATACGTCTGTTTTCGCTGTTATATCACCGATTTTCCAGTTTAAGCAAGGGGCATTCGACTTTGTACGCAGGGTTGTAGGGCATTATAACCTCTCCTTTGTGTTTATCTATGTCATATTTCGCAGGCCACACATTAGGAGCACCCAAAAATTTTCTTTGACCCTTTTTCTCTTTTGTTGAGTGATAAAGTTTGCTGACACTGTCAATTTTGACCTTCACTTTTGTCACCGAACATATGTTTTCAAGTAGTCTACTGTAGCTTTTTTGTTGTGATTTATTTTTACAGGATGTTCTCAGCTGTTAGCCTTCTTGGCAGATGTGCCACACCTGCAAAATACTTTAACTTCTGGGTTCTTAGAGGAACCAGCACGTCAAAATTACATCATTGCTCGTCAGTCACTCTATCGTATAGACAGTATTCTCGACAGCCCTCAAACGAAAATTCGAATACACTTACAGAAGTAAAGTCCTCTCAGGGTTCTGAGGTATCAACTGCTACAGCTTTTGAAACAGGTAATATTGTCTTTCTGGTAGTGCTGTTTTATTTATGTGTGTTTATACATCTATTGCCGTGCATTGGTTTCTATCTTCCCAAGAGTACACCAATTGTTTTAACTCCCATATCTCTTGTTTCAGTGAAAGAAACTACCAAAACAGCTGGTAACCTGGGTGTAATACTCTTCGGTGTAGGAATTACTGCGTCCATATTATGGGCGATTTTCCAAGAGCTTTTTTCAGGAAATAGTCCGAATAACATTTACTCCAGTGCGTTTGACAAATGTATTGCAGACTCAAGAGTTAAAGACCACCTTGGTGAACCTATTAAGGCTTATGGTGAAGAGAACAGACGAGGGCGTAGGAAGCATGTTAGGTATGATTGTTTTTTTTTAATACCGGTATTTTTCTTTCTTCAGTGTGTTTCTATAAACCAGCTAACTCTTTTTTTTTTTTCTTTTTTTTTTAGCCACAGCGAGTATCAAATTAATGGGCAGAAACATATGCTTCTCAAATTTTACATTCAAGGATCTAGGAAGAAAGGGACTGTTTATGTTGATATGGTAGAGGTAAGAATTCTCTTTTTTAAAATCTGATGCTTAAAATGACCGCAACAATATTGATAAATACAGTACTTGTTTTTTAGGATGAAAGAGGAAATTATCAACGCAACTTTTTAGCTGTGGATCTAGATGACTTTGCAAGAACAAAATTAATATTGGAAGACAACAGACAGGAACAGACAAATCCGCAGGCATCAGAGTCTCTCCCAACTTTGTATTAACTTTCTCCATCAGATGTCCGCTTGATTAATTTTGAAGTTATGTACAATGAATAGAATGCAATCAAGTAATAGTCAATTTGAAAACTATTATGTCTTTTAATTCTCACTTATAAATAACTAATTCAATTTTTCTAGCAGTTTTTGTTACTTTTTCAGTGAGTGGTCTTATGTAAAAATACTTGTACCCTAGAATCAACTATAAGACTGGTTTAGGATAAAATTTGAATAAATTAGGTGACAGCATCACATCACACTAAAAAATGAATTTCTTTTCTTTTCAGTCATGGTTGAACATCACCTTTCTCATGGCATTGATTTTAAAGTGAGGAGGTGATGAATGGATAACTCACACAATTTTCACAGGTCAGTTTTATTACCTCCAACACTTGTGCCAACCAATTGCGATTACGACAAATACAAAGAGGATCAGTTCAAGTGCAGCTGAACCCCTGGTCCTCCCAACTCCACGTCACTGACACCAAATCCACAACCCAATAGCTCATCCTTTAGTAAAGTTAGTGCCTTTTCTTTTCCTGTGGGGACTAAGACTATAGCAAAACCTCCCCCTCCGGCACCAGTTAATTTTCCAACTAGGTTGTGCTTCTTGGACATCTGGACAATTTGGTCTAAAGATGGGTGACTTACTCCCAAAGCTTGAAGTAGGGAGTGATTCATGGACCACAGCTCCTGCAAAAATTTAAATTGATCAATTTGAACAGAACAACAATCCGGTGTCTCATGGGACATAAAATGTCTAACCTCCATCCTTGAGAATAAAGATAGGCTTTCTTCTGTAGAGTGACATTTCTTAGCTTCATCCAGAAGTTTGAAAAGCTTTTCGGCCTCAACGCATATACTCTCCATTGCCTGCGACAAAGAAGTTTTGTTACCACTTAATGGCAAAACTAAAAAAAGAGAGTAAAACACTCTTTTCAAAAAAGAAATAAAACAACTTTTACCTTCATGATGGTCTGGACAATGGCTTCATGATGGCTTTTCAATGTTGCAACCCTTTCAACAAGAGTACGAGTATTGCGACTCACTTTTGTGTCAACCAACAGAACTCTAACTCCGCTGCATAGAGGAATTTTTGTTATGGTATTTGGACGACGAAAAGCTATCAAGGATCCAAATGCACAAACATTGTTATCAAGACCTGGAATAAAAATTATCTAAAAATTGGGAAAAATGTTTACCTTTAACAAGAAAAATGCACAGGAATATATTAAGAAAAGTTACCAACCAGATGGATTTCCATGTGTGATGCGTTCTCCCAGAAAAGCCCAGTTAGATATCAAGTCCTTAGTCTTCTCATCAAGACAGAAGACTCTAGGCTCTTCTCGCAAACTGGCAAGACACACAAAAAACGCAGCCAACGAAACACAAAAAGAAGCAGACGAACCTGCCCCTGCACCAACAGGCAAATCTGATGTCAAACTCAACAAAAAAGGTTTCAGACCTGCCAATTTGGGCTGATTTGGGCAGTTGAGAATTGCTACCATCAGGAACAGGCAGCACTTTAAGCCAAGCTGCAGAGAAAAAAAATGTGACAGTCGTCATGTTGTTTGTCTTCTTATTTGAGAGAGCAGCATTGACAGACTTACTAGTTGCTGAGTTTCAAGACCATGGAACTTTGTTTGTGATTTTATGAACGTTTCAACACCTAGCACTAGATTGTCAAAATCAACATTAAAAGGATTATTGAAGTCCCAGCCATTCTTTGAGGACAAAGAAGTTAGGAGATGATTCAGGTCGCTAAAAATATAAACACAGCAGTTAAAACGTTTGCATGTGTAATAATAAATAATAAAGTCTGTAAGGTAGTAACAATACCTAGAAGATAATGAGATGTCTAGCTTAATATTAGGCAGTTTTATATGAACAAAGTCATTTTCATTGAGTTCATCGAAACAGGTGTATTCGAGTTTCGACCGTAGATTAAGACTTGCTGCTATAGCAAGATGGCCATAGACAACCTGCAAAAAAGTTTTTCAAAAATTTATACATATACCAAATAGATTACACAATAAGATAACAACAATAGGAATTGTTGATTAGATATACTTACGGAATGTTCTCCCAGTAAAATGACCTTCCCTGGAACGGAGATGCTAAATTTGGATGGAAGGTTCTTTAAAGTCTCCATGGTAGTCATGGAAGTGTTGCACGCTGCTGACCTCTCCTACTGGATAATTACTGAGAGCTTTGCTTAGCCCACTGTTCTGGTGTCAATGTTTTTTGTGAAAATGCATGGATGACTTTCAGTTCCTCTTCTAATATTGAATTAACCAGCCTAACAATAAAAACAACAAAAACACAACTTGATTAATAAATATCAAAGTATCCTTGCAATCGATAACTTTAAAGTATTGATTCAGCAAGCCACTTTTTTGAGAAACAAGGATTTAGTTGAGAACAACTCTGAAAAACCACGACTTTCTAAGGACAAGGCGCTTCGGACTCTGTTCTGGGACAAGCTCTGAGCTACTTAGCATTTCAACGTTCCCCCCTCCTCAAAATATGCATAATTTATACAGTGCTGGCTAAGGAAGAAGCACAGTACAGTGATATTTTTGTAGATCACAGATCTCCAAGCCTTGTGCTGTCTCTCTCTTTCTAGATTATCATAGTTTAAAAAGATATACTGACCGATGGCGTTGAAGAAGTGGCTTCCCTTCAAACTTATCAGAAACAACAATCACATTGAATTTTCCACCGCAGCCATCAGATTCATCCACCACCTCCTAGACACAATGAATGAACAGACAGAAAAAATAGAAATTATAACCAAATAATTTTTTTATAAAGCAATGAAGTTTTAGAAAGTTAAAAAGGAAATGTTATTAAGAAATCCCACAGCAATAAGCTTGCCAAATTAGGTGGATAGATTAGAGTTAAAGATCGTCATGTCAGATGATTTTTTTATGGTAAAGGCAATTATTTACAACCACAAAGAATTTAATAAAATGGAAAAAAATCAGACTTCTGCACACAATTACACAAAAAAAGACCACAGAATAGTATCAGCGAGTTTCTTCTTTGTTTCCATCAAACTGCAGTGATACAACGAATTTCTAAGGAGGCAATAACACCATAATTATACAAGTTCAATCATTTATTTTATCAAAATCATTTTTACCAATATCACAAATTGTCTGTTAGAGGCCTGACAAGTCAACTAACAGTAATAAATATTACAAATATTTAATGCAAGTTCACTTATGCTTTTTTTCATCAACTGTTTGTCTAAGAGAGATTCCACTTAAAGAAAATTGTTTATAATTGAAGTACAATAAAAACCCTAAGAAATGTATACAAGAATAAACGGAGATGAGCAATGGAAACAAATCGGGCAGGTGTTTAGGTGGCTTGACAGCAACAGTTAGGAGTGTCAGCACTGCACAGCCCATCATAGATAAGGAAAACACAGCCCACCACCAAAAATTAGTGACATTTTGGTTGTCAGATTTGTTTGACTTGAGGCTTGTTGATGCCAGAACATTGACCATCAAGGTGGTGGCTACAATGTGGAAGACAGAAAGTGCCACAGTAGGGATCAATAAGCCATCCTTTAAGAGCAGGGGCAGCATGCTAAATGAAGAAACGGTTGTAAACCACATACTCAAAAATGGGTCTGAAGGCAACGCAAGTGCTACTGGTATGGATGCAAGTAAAATGCTCTTTTCATGAACTTGATACGAAAATAGGAAAAATGTCAAACCTGAGTTTATCAGTGCATACACAAATTTTTTCTTATTTGGGCGAAATAATATATCTAGACAACTTGGAAGAACAACTATCAGAGTGGAGACTAAACACATCAAAGCCATCTCCTCATTTTTAAACAAGTTTTTAATTTTAATTAAAACATTCAAAGCACACCAGACATTTGACACTTTGTCCTCAAAAACACCCCTCGCAAAGGGAAACAACCGGACAAAGACTTGCTTTATTTGGTTAATCTCTGTCAAAAAGGGTGACCACAGAAGGGCAAATGTGGACAAGACTACAAATGCTATTGCAGCTAGATTTGGGACCCCTTTCAGAATGCCTCCTTTTAAAGTGTCTCCTAACAAATAAAAGAAGAAGGGGAAGGCATGATACAAACTCATTTGCTTGAAACTAAGAGCAAACACAAACAACATAGAGCCCAATAATTTTTTATTTTGAAATATGGCAGCTGCTGCAGCAACAGTAAACCCAAGAGAAATACCATTGTATTGAAAATGTCCATGGTCGATTAGAAGCAGACCTGGGTGTGACAGGACCAAGAAGATCCACACTAAAGAGGAATCATCTGATGTCTTATGTCTAGACACAAAGTACCACCACACAGACGGAATAAGAATTAGAAGGTCACTAAAAATCACAGTCCAACGCATAAAAAGCTTGTGTGCATAACTTTCAAAGCCTCGTGATGTACCCAAAGCTACAAAGCTTTCATCAATTTGAGACGCGATAAAACCACACAACTTGCTGTGGTACGCAGTCAATGGAGGGTAGTCGAGTCCCCAGTATAATAGATCATTGTTCGTAGTGTTGAAGTACCACTCCTTCACAGGGAGATTGTGCGTTACTTCCATCCAGTGACGTTGGGCCTCATAATCACCATACATGGGGGGTTTCTTCTGGCCTGAGTATGAGTGCAGGGAGACCCCCCATCGGAGAATTAAAATCCCCAGCAGAGTCAGCACGCCAGCGCCTCGAAACACGTCCACAGACGAAGACGAAGACATCTCGACAGGGACAGGAACAGGCGGTAAAGCCAGAGTGAGGGGGACGCCTGACGACTACAACACTGATAAACTGAGCCGGTTTGAGACTTGCTTAGCTTGCTCTAACCTAGCCTACTTACTATATGAACAGGTTGGAGTTCCTTGCTCAGTTTATCTTTGATATGATCAACAGAGATCGACATATTTTAGCGTAAGATGTACAAATGGTTCGAGGGAATGCTTCCTCGAAGTTTGTCAGCAATTATCAGCAGCAGACCGGGAAGGAAATTGACTCGGACTTGTACTTGTTGTTGTTGCCGCGCCGTCACGTCACGTCACGCTACGCCACGGAAGCGGAAATAAGACAGATGCCAGGATAGTTTAGAAGGCTGAGAGAAACTTCCCGCTTCGGTTTGAATGCTCTGAATGGACAGTAGGAGGTCAGGATGTCATCCAGCCTCATTGTGTTTTTTTTAGTTTACAATCGAGGAGAAAACATCAAATGTAAGAAAAATGGGGTTGGTAAATGAGCAGTCATAATGTGGTAGGAAGTAATCTTTCTTTTAGACACATGTAATTTAAGTACAATACAAGGGCCTTAGCAGAACAGTCTGATAAGACATTACAGTACCTACAGAACAACAGATGTTAAAAAGAGGCATACAAAAGAGTTACAATAATTTTAAGCGCTTTTCCACGGGATACCTCAGATGACAGATAAGTGGAAATGTATTCGACATTTTCCCTCCAGTGGCACTAATATGCACTCTATCCAGATCATACTGAGATTCTCACCTAAAACTGGTAAGGCATGAGGAAGAGCACTCTTCCTGCAGACAAAAGTAAAAGAGCAAAATATACTAGCATTTCTTTAAGCCATGCTTAAAAAGAATTGAAATATTAATAGTTTGTTGGCAAAGTATCACAAGGAAACGGATGTAGGGCAGGGGGCTTTCAAGTCTGTCGGTAGTTATTGCTATGGTTTCTTCCACAGTATTGTATTATCATTACAAACTATCATTTTTAAAAAAAAGAAGAAAAAAAGGAACAAATATGTTTACACACACTCAATCACACACACACAAATATACATATGGCACTTATAAAAATAATCCAGCAAATAGTAAAAGCATCAATAATCCATTAGAAAAGCAATGTCCAGAAAAACTGCACATGGCCTTACACATTGAGAAAAGAACCTTATACAAACAAAATTAGAGATAAGTGCTTTATACATACATAATTGGTCATAATCCATGAGAGAATGATGATTTTGTAGCCTAAACATACCTTGATCTTTTAGAAAACAAATGATAGCCACCAATGCATAGGGCCTCCCCTGCATACTTAAAATTCAGTTGCAACAAGATGACTTGACTGACTTGTTTTTTTCTTTTTTCAAGGAATTAGAAAAACAAGCAAAGAAAACATACACTTCCTCTACAAAGGAGCATTAACAAATCATTGACTGTAAATTCTTGTGATGCATTTCAGTTTCCTCGGTAACTACAACAGACAATCAGAGCAAAAATCAACTTTGCATTACGATACAACAAGATTTTGCTTTCAAACAGGCTGAAGTCGAGAGGTGCCAGCATGCCCTTTCTGATGTGAGTAATGATTGTCCAAGTCTGGGCAACAAATATTCCTTGAATCAACAAAAACATAGTATATCATTCACAAAAGGGCTAAGACCCAGTATCTCTTCACTTCAGTCTTTGAGCTTATGGTATTAGATAGAAGAAAAAAAAAGTTACATACTGCTAAAATACTTCAAATGATCAAAAGACCCCTCAGCTACTTAAGACACTTGACACAATTATTAATACTCAATCAATTCTTGGCTACAATAATAGAGCAAGACTTAATTTGATTTGGACGCACAATGAGGATTAAGTTTAACAGACCTGATCACAGAGAAAGTGCGCCCCTATAGATAATTATTATGCTTTCCCAGACAAAACTCACTTCTGGAACCTTACCGGACACAAACAGAATCTAAATAACGTTGGTAAATTAAATCCCCAAAGAAAGTTACAATACAAAAATACATGTCCTGTCTTTTTATAAAAGGAAAAAAAAAAGCTCATACAAAATTCTTAAATAAATAAAAACCAGAAAAAAATGTTAACAACAAAATGGAAAAGAAATGTTTCAACAATAAACTTGTAATATCTTGTGCATTAGAGTGTTCAGAGTTATTGACAGGTGACCAATAATAAAACAAATGAAAATATCCTGCATTACTGTTGTGAGCTTTAGCCAGGTAAGGCTTGTCAAAAAACATTTCAAATAATGAAGAGGAAGTCTACCCTTAAGACCAAAGTTGTAATATTCCCCTACAAAAAAGAAAACAATCCCCTTAAACCACACAAAATAACTTAACATCATACAGCTCATAGCACAACTTCAAGAGGAACTGGGAAAGAACTAGCGGCAAACACAGGTAAGGCTAAGACTACATTAACAATGGATCACAGTCCAACACATTTTGAATGTGATTTATCACACAAGATTAATAGATTTAAAATTTTCTGCTAAAAAATGCACGGGCAAAATTATTTAAGCCATTTCAATGCGGTAAGCACTCTTAGCCAAATACTGAAAAATAAGTTACCGCAGAAAGAATTTGGCTAATATAGGGGCAAGACTCGCCAGAAGGTTCCCAGCCTTCCACACACATGAACATTTTAAGAAAATATACTTATACTCTAAAACTACAGTACAATACCCCTCACAGCAATCAAAAGTGAGAAATTCCAAAATCCTATCTAAAGAAAAATGAGTATACCAAGCTCAGGCTGATTTTAATAATTGTGCTACACCCAAGTCATTTAATGCAACAAAGTTATTTGAGCAAAATTACTTTTCACGAAAATAGCATGAATTGGGAACATGTTAGTTCAATACCAAAAGTTTGAGAAGATGCCGATTTTAAGTATAAATAGCCGGATGAAATTGATGAGCTTGAGCTTCGAACAACTTGTTATGAGTAGCAATATGTTTTATGTAGAAAAACCAACTACACAGCTTTAAAGGGTAAAATACAAAAATGCTATCAAGAGCCCAAGAACTCTGACACAGTGTCCGCATAACGGAATGTATCTTTCAAAAAGTAAAAGCTAGAACATAAATATAGGCATAAAATATAACTTACACAAATCACAAATAATTTACTAATTCTACTGACTGCTGGAGCAAATTCAATTCTCTATAGGCACAAGCAGCACAGCACATGTTACATAAACATTAATAACATGTTTTCACAGCTAGTCTACAAAATTATTCTTAACATTGTCCATCTTAAAAGAAAAAATATTGATTGTCAAACAGAAAAACGACAACTAATTGTTGTTGTCAGATAATAAGATAATTTAACATGAATATGGGCACAGTGCATGCCGCAACTCCGACTGTCTGTTTCTACCCATATTTTCATGACTGTGGGGTAGCTCAAACTTCTTTGATTAAGATGGCAATACTTGTATAATTCAAAATATAACTGATTGATTCTTTAACATTTACACAAAACCCTGGAAAATAATGGCAGAACCTCTGCCTGACTAGAGGGGGCTAATTGGACGGAGTGTTGTAAGTTTGACGGCCACCCAACTCAAGAAGGTATCTGTCTGGATGATCTGCCCACTCCGCAGCACTCAGCTTTACAACTCGTTGTTTCTCAGCCTGCTTCACTTCCCATTTTTTTAACTCAAGTTGCTGTTCCCTGATAAATGTCATGAGAGAAATAATTACAAAATCGAATTATAACTCTGCAATAACAAGAACAAAAGTAATGGGAATGGTTTTTTTTTTCCCATAGTATGTTACCTTGATTTGGAAGTGCCACAACCCCAAACCTCCACACTAGTCAATGGATAGGGTATTCCACTGTAAGTTATCATACCAAAAGACTCATCAAGTTTCAGACTTGGTTTGCTGGGATTACTACCAGCATGAATCCCTTTGGGATACCCACGAATTGTCAAATTTAAGTACAGAATTTTTGCACCACCTAAGAGAAATGATAGCAATTTGAATGATAAGGCCACAAAGATAATGCACATTGTTAACAAGAGAGAGAAAATAATTTAAATATACATACGCTCAATGACATGAAAGAGAGGTAAGATCTGTAGAATACAAGAGTTTTCACATCCCCAGTAGTGATTTGACTCATGCCATTCAGAATCAGCAGCCACACAAAACTCCACTCCCTCCTGTCCTCGTAAGAAAGTCAAAGTGGGTCCTCGGTAGCTAAGAACATGGTGAAGAAACCTGTACGTGGGCAGCAGCTAAGTTAGTCGGGTACATGCGCCGATACTGAGACAACCTCTACACACATTGTTTGAATCATACCTATTAGCTCCCATTCCATGCTGGTCGCTGCTGTACAAAGGCGCCCAGTGTGAGGGATAAGTAGACCCCAGCTGTGGGGATGAAAACAGGATTTAATTGATGAGGACGACCTTGAACCTTCAACAGCTGCCACACCATGAGGTCAACTAAACATACCATTTTGGCTATTAAAGATTGGGCTGACATGCAATTCGGTTGAGTAGGAGAGGAAGAACCATTAGGATGCTGTGATGGCATAGTGTACAATGGAGGAAGGCTTGTTGCCAAAAGCCAAACTTGAGAGACTGGTAGCAAATATGGTCCTTTGGAGTCAACATCAACGTTCTTCTCGAGGACAGGAGTTGAAAGTTCCATGCCCTGGGGACATTTTAAGAAAAAATTTAACAGTTCTTTAAGTTAACAGTTCTAGCAGTTCTGGTTTTCCTGTTTCAGATGCACTAACAATGATTCAAGACAAAAATGAACAGTATCACATAATCACTTTCATACCTCCTTCGCTTCATCAGAAGCCTCTTCCTGTGAGCATGTAAGAAAAGTTACTAGTTTAAAAAGATGACTAGCACAAGTATAGAGTGGAGATGACAGAGGGTGAAGAAAGGAATGAAAAAGGACCTATCATTAGGACTTACAGGAGCTGAAGTAGTAACAGGCTGCTTCTCTTGAAGGGCCCGGTAGGCAGTTGTCAAAACATGCACCACATAGCGGTGCAGCAAAGGCACCAGTCTAGGGAGATGTTGTAGGAGCCAGTTACTCATATAGCCAGAAGACACTGCCAACTTCTTGTGGAACTAGAAAAAAACAACAGAAAAAAACAAACAAACTGTGTATTAAAATGGGTGTACTGGAAGAGGAAAAAACAGGCACAAAAACAAACACAACATTAGAAAACTTGTCAGTAAATGCTATGAACCATCTGAGGGGCCGAATTCGGCATTCATTTGTGAGATAGATAATCATCCTATACTGGAAAATTTATTCAATTTTAATTTTAACAATTTAAATGAGTGAACAAAATCAAAATAAAGACATCTTTCAAAATTATTAACAGCTCACTTAGCAAAGCTCACTTAGCAAAGAAGAGGTCTTCACTCACGTCACACCTGAAAAAGGAAATACACCAGAGCAAACATATTCTAAAAAAAAGAAAAGGTATGATTTGGGAGATTTTGGGGTCAAAGCGAAGCAAGTGATGCAGTTCTAACTAATTCTGCTCAAGGATTAGGAAAGAAATTTCACCCCAAGCCAATAGAGCTCCAGAATCCTAAATATAATGTCATCATGAAAATAAATTTCTATCACTTCACACATCTTGAAAAACCAGCCCAATATTAGCTACTTATGAAAGTTTGTTCAAGAAAGTGGAATCTAAGTTGGCGACAAGGATGAAGAGAACACAAAGTCAATTGAACTCAAAAATTCGCAGAATCAAAGCCAACAAATGGATTGACAATGCTCTGGGAAAATTGGGTTCAAGAAAAGAAGATGGAAAATACCAGAATATGCAGTCACATACAATAAAGGTAAAATATAACACTAGACTGAATGCGTACATTTAAAAAAATTGGATCCATGAATTCCAATAAAAGACAGAAAGGAGAGTAGGAGGAGCTAGTACCTGGGGCTGGTGTGGCTAGACGAGGCTAAGTAAAGACTTGATGCTTACGGCTGAATCCACCACTGCCTGGAGAGTGTGGTGGATCTGCAGACAGGTCTGCGGCCCTCCTGGGTAGTTTTCCATCGCCAGGCGGTATGTCAACATCAGCAAGTCGAAAACTTGTTCTTGAGTCACTTCTTCAGATCCATCGGAGAACGCCTTGTAAATGGTAAGACCAGAAAAATAACAAACTGTTCTGAAAGTTTGATAGTTTTAAATTGATTGATGAGAGAACTTTCTCCCTTGGCAAGGACAGACATACCTTGACATAAAGTTCTACTATCCTTTCATCTGGTAAGACAGATAGTAATTTATCGGCTTGCTGCCGAAATGTAGAGGCAGATATGTGGTTGGATGATTTGGACACTCCACCACATTTTGCCATGTAATTATACATTTTTAATCCAAGCTCAGGATATTGAGGAAAAAGGTATTTCTGAAAAGTCCACAATAATATAATTCACTTAAGCAGGCCTATGTGAGATATATATTAATGCAAAGACTACTTACTGAAAATACATCAGCAGAAATTACATTCTGACCACTGCCTTCATCTGATGTTTTATGGACAAGTATCTGTAAGTGAGAAGCAACAAGTGAATTCCAAATAATTACAAAACAAGATGTGGATTTGTGAATATGGAAGCTTATCACTTTCAAATCCAACTAGTTTAAACCAATTGACATGAAGTAAATGTACCTTAAAAATAAAAACAATCCACCCCCATTAAAAAAGAGAAGAAAAAACAACTGAGCTGTCATGCCATCAGCTGATTCAAAGTTCCTGAACTAGCATTTTTTTTTTCACTTTCTTGTGAAATGATCCAAATAGGCATGACAGGGGAGAAAAGAAGAACAACCTTGATATTTCACTAGGGAAACCCTCAAAAGTCTTTAAGGCCACCAGAGAGGCCAGCTGTGTTATGCTGCATTGACAAAGGTTTCCCCTTCCCTCCCTCCCCCTCCCCGTCACCTTGAAGTCCATGAGAAAAAAGACAAGAGGGGAAAGGGGGAGGGGGAGGGGGTACCGTAAAGGCCAAAGGCGCCAGGCCAGGGTCTGGCGCCGTACGCCGTAGACGAGCCCGCCCAGGCCCAGGGTGCCCAGGGCGGTGCGGCCGCGGACAGGGGGCCTAACCTCAATTTGGGGGGGACTTTCGAGACGCCAGCGCCAAACGCGCCAACGTCACGGCACGTCACGTTGTTACGTCTACGGCCAGACGAGACGGGCGTCGTTGGCGCGTCTAGGCGGTGACGGCGTCGCGGACGGCCGTCGCGACGAGTAGCGGGCAGCGGGGCGCGGGGACGTCGACGGCGGCCTCGTCCGCCTCGCTCTGTCCCCCTTTGTCTTCGTCCTGCACCTCACCTTGGCCAGTTTGTCGATGGGCACCAGGCTCGTGCCGTGGTTTTGCTCCTTTATGTCTGCCCCCGAACTGGTCCTCGAAATGCTTTTCCGCGGACCCGAGCCGTTGTCCGAGTGACTGTGGTGGTTGCCCATGGCTGCAGATGCTGCTTGCTTGCTGCAGATGCAGGGGACTCGACTCGAGACTCGAGCACCTGCAACGCAACGCTGCAACGCCCCGCGACCTGCAACCGCGACGCAGCACGCAGCGCAAACGCAGTGCAACTGACGACTGCCGCTGCCGCAAACGAGCAAACGCGTCAAGCGAAAAATGTTGTTGGAGCTCGTCGCGTCGAGGTTGACCGAAGTCGCCTCACCGCCTCCACCACCACCACCGCTCTCACTCACCAACACAGACGCACACGGACGCACCAGATCACGCACACAGGCGCACACACACAACAAGTGAATGGCGAGGGGAAGCAGCAACAACATCAACAACAACAACACGAGACGGCAATTTTGTTTTAGCGCTGCGAATTTTCAATGGAGCTCGCCAGGAAAATAAAGAGGCGGCATCGTCACGACTGGTTGTGAATGGCGAGAGCTAGCAGGGGCGACGTCAAACTCAGAGTCGCTGCGAGACCCGGGCTGTCTGCCCCTTCTTCGGATGCGGCCTCTGCGAACGGCTGTCATCTGCATGGGTTAAGAGGACTCACATTGGGGTAAATCCTTATCACCACTTGTCACTCTGGTCGAACCAAGTTGTTTGCTTTGTGATTAGTGTTGGAGTATGAAGGGGTGGTCTGGGTTGATGGTTTCCTCAGTTCGGTCTGGACTGTTGTCAGTAACAGTGCTTTACACCTTTGTCTCTGCAGTTAAATTGAACGTCAACTTATTTCATTCAAATGGATACGGAACGCACATCTCTTTTGGGGAAGAGTCGAGCTACTGGCTCCTCCCAGGCTAATTTGGTCCGACAGTCATCTGGCCTACAATGGGATCCTGTGCGAGGCAGAAAAGCGGCTACTTTTGTCCTCCTAGCGCTAACTTTAGAACGATTGGCGTATTATGCTTTGCTAGCTAATCTCTTGGTGTTCCTAATTCTTGGAGGCAACACTCCCAAGGAGGCCATGACTGCTGTTCTCGTTGTTGGAGCAATAGCTCATTTTTCTGCTCTTGGAGGAGGCTGGCTTTCTGATGGTGCCTTAGGTAAGAGCTTTTCTTTCCCTTCCTCAGGCAATATGAATGTTATGCAGAACAGAATGTAAATTCATCTTATTTTGCAGGTCGATATTGGACCCTAATTTTGGGCCTATCACTTTACGTGGTGGGTTTTGCCATGCTGACAGCAGTAGCAGGGGGTATCCTTTGGTCAAATACTCATGCCTCTCTGCCTCAACTGTACATTATATTCACCTGCATTGGCATTGCTGCTGGGACTGTTCGAGCCAATTTTCCATCATTTGGGGCTGAACAAGTAAGTTCACACTCTCCTGATGGAAATCTATCATATACTTAAATTTTAAAAGTTGTTAAATTTGGATTTCTTTCTGTAGGTGCGGCATGGTGGTGGTGAAACAGTCCGCAAATTTTTCAACTGGTATTACTGGTGTGTCAACTCTGGATCACTTTTAGGGGTGGGGCTCTTATCACTAGTGGCCCAAGAGCCCGCAACCATTGCAGGAGGGTTTTTGGCTGCTTGGGGAGGCGCTGGCGCTGGAGTGACACTTGCTTTGGTTCTGCTAGCGGCTGGAAAGCCTTACTACACCATTTACAGGCCTGGCAGCTCGCCGCTCCTTTCAACCCTAAGGATTCTGCATCAAGGTGTTAAAGGCCGCTGGAATCTGCGAAAATCTAATACTCATAGGTAGATTTAAGTTAATCATAGTTGCCTCAATTTTACCTATCAACCCCACATTCCATGGAGACATTTACTTTTTTTGTTTAGCTCACCTGTTGTTTCAAACCAATCCAACCCGTTGTCAGCTACAGCTCCCTCATGGCTAGATTATGCCAAAATGCGGTATGGTGGATCCCACCGTGATTCTACTGTAGAGGATGTGAAAAAGCTAGGTTCTGTGTTAATACTTCTACTGTTACTCCTACCTTACTGGCTGGTGTTTTTTCAGGTAACTCCATTGCTAAAAATCTTATTAAAAATTCTCAAGTTAAAATCTTTTAGAGCTTGTATTGTGTGATAATGTTTTTAATTTTTCTTCTTTCCTCTCAGATTGAAACTGGCTTCCAAGAGCAAGGGGTCCATTTAAAAATCGGACTGGCTCCTAAAAACACATTTAATGTAAGTGTCCATCCCTGTCAACTTATTCTATGTTTATTCTTCCTCTTATTTTTGCAATGTCTTTCTTTACGAAATTCAGTATTGTTTTTTAGATCCCCACTTCATGGCTGAGTCTCTTTGACCAGTTGTTTATTTTGGGTCTTATTCCTTTCCTCAATGGGGTTGTATATCCTGCCTTGGATCGGAGAGGTGTACGAGTTACACTCTTTGGCCGCATTGGTATGTGCTTTTAATGTTTAAAAAACAATCTTAACAAAAACCTCGTTCAATTTGAATACCTATCAAATTCCTATATTCTACAGCTGTCGGAATGGCCTTAAGTCTCCTTGCTGCTGTATCAGCAGGTTTACTTGAAACAGTATCCATGCAACGCTGGAATAGTGGGTGAGTAATTTTGTAACAGTCCATACAACTGCATTTTGTGGTACTGTAGTTTGTCCTCAAATTTCTTTGTTCTTACAGACATCACATTGAGCAAATTATTCATAATCGGACATACAATGCAAGTGATGTGTCAGTTCTGTGGCAAGTTCCTCAGTACTGCTTAGTAGGGATGGCAGAAGTCTTTGCTGGAGTTGCAGGTACACTGAACTGCAGGTTCATTGTAATTTTCTGAAATTCTGATAGATGGTACTGTACTAATTTCTTGAATGATATTCATAGGGTTGGAGTATGTATACTCAACAGCCCCAAAACCTCTGCAGGCTGTAGCTATGGGTTTATTATCAGCAGTGGAGGGCTTGGGTTCATTGCTAGGCACAGGCCTCATAGGTGCTCTCAGTCCTGCGTGGATACCTCAAGATAAGGATCATTTCCAGGTATGACTAGTCCATGCCTTTCAATCTTATAATAAAAATTTAATTCAACTACTATTTTTTTTTTCTTTCCAGGGCCATTTGGATTATTACTTCTTTCTACTTGCTGGCATTCAGGGTGTTACCCTTGTGGGATTTAGTATCTCATTATTCTTGAAGTGCTGTTTTAGTTCAGGAAATGCCTCTCAATCAGATGTTTCTAGGATATCAAATGTTTCACATACACCCAACTCAACAAGCTCCACCCCCACTGTCACCAGTAGCACAAATACTGCAATATCTATTTAGCTGGTTCCCTAGTGTGTTGTCATTTTTAGTTCAATTAGTCAGTCATGAGCAATTTCTTATTTTGGAATTATTTTTTTAATCTCATGTTTATGATCTGTGACTACCAGAAGACTGTTTTAATCTTATTCTGAGATGTACGTATGATCATTTTTTTTTTAACTTGTGCACATTCCATGGACATTTACTGCTTTGCTAAGATGAAGATATTTTTATGAACATTTTGATAATTTATTATGAACTGCTGTCATTTGATGTATTTTTCCATTGTCTTCTTTGATGTTTAATGCTCAATGGCTGTGAGAAGACTTAGGTACATTGTGCTCAGTCTGATTTTGAGATAATTCTGCACAAGGTTTCCAGACTGTGATATTGTTTTCTATTCTATTTGTCTCATTTAATGAATTATTAAGGTATAAGATTTCTCAATCAAAACAGTCAACACTAAGTCAAACAATTAGTTGTTATAGTTTATTTTCGAATTCATGTTAGTATTTACTAAGTTATAAGGAAAAGGTTCAATAACAGTTTGTAAATGTACGAATTGTACTGATTTGAAAACAGTAGGTGCTTTGTAGTAGTACTACGTAAGCTCCTCCCAACTATATTTTGTGAGTATATAATTGTTACAATTAGCTGGCCCCCAGGTAATACAATACCATGAGTTTAGTTAATGATTTGTGGTTCATAGTTTGGTTGGATAGCGGCATCTATGCTTTTCGCATACATGTCCAGGCGCTGCGTCATCTGTAAAAATAATTCGTGAGTGCAGTAATAATTTATCAGGAAAATTTGGTTTGAAGAGTTTTTACCTGAAAGCCCCAAACATCTTTAACTTGGCGGCACAAATTGAGATCCATTTCGGCAATCAGGAGACCATCTTTTATTCTTGACAATCCCTGGAAGACAATTCAACATTGTGAAAATATGGTTGTTTACTGTGTGTTTTATGTATTTCAATATGTGGTTCCTTCTAAACATACTGGTGTACGAGATCCATCTGGTGCAGCAACATAGCTGGAGCCATAGAAGTGACCAAACTCTTGGTGAGCGGGACGACCATCACCGGATGTAAATTCATTTGGAAACTTTTCTGTTCCAACTCTATTAATGGCACATGTAAAGTAACTATTGGCAATTGCTGCATTTCGTGCTTCAATACCCCAAAGTGGCTCACTGAAAGGATTTTTAGGCAAAGTTTAGGAAAATAGAATAATATTCATCAGTAAAGAAAATGTTGAGAAGAGTCTTTCTTCATCCAAACCTTAATTCTCCAACTGTAGCAGATGGATTGAATACAATCTCAGCTCCATTGACACCGAACATAAACCAGTTCAGTGGATGGTGACGCCCATAGCATATGTTGATAGCAATTTTTCCAAACTCAGTCTGCGAAATTAAGTATATGAAAAGTGACATAAACTGCTACAATGCTGATCTATGCAAAGGCTGAACTGGCCCAATTCTACCTGGAAGACTGGATGGCCAGTGTTGCCCTCAAAGTAGTACGAGCTTTCATTGAAGTCTCCAACTCGCGGAATGTGGTTCTTCCTGTGTTTTCCTACATATCGCCCTTTGCTAACTACTACAGCCGTGTTCCAGATGGTTTCTCCATGGACAGTATCCCTCTCCAGAATTGGAGATATAATCACCATGTTGTACTGTTTGCTGAGCTACAAGAAAGCAGTACTCCTAAGTAATAAGTTCAACAGAAGTGATTCCAGTCTTCAGATACCACTCAAGCTTGTGGCCTGCCTTACATCTTTCACAAGTTCAGTCGTTGGCCCATCCTCAGCAGACTCAGCAAATTCACACCATGGTTTCTTTTCTCTTGTGCAGAATGCAAAAGGCATAGCTGGAAAACCACAAAAATTTTCAACCTTGATTTGAGTTTAGTTGAAAGCAAACTCAGAAATTGAAGAGAGAAGAACTCACTCCATGCTTCTTGGAAGCATACGATGTTCACTTGGCTTTCTGCTGCAGCTTTGACAATTGTTGAAATATGCTGATGCAACGCATCTCTCTGTTCCTTAAGTGGACGGTCAGTTGGAATGACAATCTTGTTTTGAATGAGACCAACCCGTACAATTCTGTACAAGTACAGTGAAACGTAATTGGATGTCATAGACACACATGCATGGCAGGAAGGTTTCGTAGAAATATTACACACCTTGGTGCCCGCAGCTGCTCAGGTGCTGCTGAGAAACTGTATCCTTTGATTTCAAAGTCATTTTTCTCTGCTGTAGTGAGAGCTGCTTGTGGCAAACTCAGCGGCCTGAAGAGAAACAATTGTAACTGTCTTGAGGGATGTCTCATTAAGAGGTTATATTATAAAGATAAAACGCTTCCAATTTTAAAAATGCAAAATTCCAAAACTCTTTCAAGTTTAAATCAAATGAGCATGAAGAAGAAAATCAGCTGACCAAATAAGTAAACAGTAGTGACATTGAATCTACTTGGCAAACAACAACAACAAACTCTTACTTTGTTTCTTTTCCATACAAGACGCGAAGGACCTGTTCCCGTTCCCCCGGGGGAAGGTGTTGGTTGAGGATGCTTTCCACACTTTCCATCTGTTCAATCGATGCCATATCGATGCGGTATTCCCGATTTGGACTCCCCTCCTGGTCTCAAGTCGTCTGCTAGTCTTGCGGCAGACGCCCCACGCAGACGACAAGATCGGCCGGCGCGACGTAGCGGCGCAGCCTCTGCTTCTGTTCGGTCCTGCCGCGGCGCAGGCGATGGACGTTGTGTAAACTTGGTAGACTATCTCTGATGCTTCCCGGCCCAGCAACAACCGCCACCGCCCCAGCTCAGCCGCCAGCAAGGTAATCAACTCTGCTATCCCCCGACCCGATTTGTCGGCGACACTTGACGACTCGCTGGTCAGTGTCGCGTCGCCTCGCGCCCGGCTCCGCCGTCAGTCTGCTGCCGAGGACTGTGGACCTCTGCCGGTCAGCTGATGGCTATCAGTCAATAGATCACTAGATTCCGCTACTTTAATTGTCTCCGGTCGTTATCGGGGCTTGGAGGGAGAGAGAAATACAGTAAGTCAGCCGCGAAGGCGGTGCAGTGCGCGTGCGCGGAGAGGGGCGTTGGGCGGGGCGGTGTTGCCGCGTGGAAGCAGTAACGACTCTCAGCGAGTCATGTGACCATGGCCTGTTGGTCTAGGGGTATGATTCTCGCTTCGGGTGCGAGAGGTCCCGGGTTCAAATCCCGGACAGGCCCGGTGTACTCTTTTGTGCAGGTGGTTTCCAGTTAGTATAGCACCAAGGTTTTCGTGGTTAGGTAAAACAAAATAAATTTAAGATTCGGAGCGTTTGGGTAGCATTCCTTAGGTCCAGAAGGGCGAGCGTTGTGGAGTGGGGAAGGGAACTTTGGACTTTTTGTCTAAGAGAGTGTCTGTTTGTACGCGATAAGGCCAGCGAGAGCCGCCAGTGTGGCGGCGAGACTTACCTTCTGCAGTTGCATCATTGGCACTGTAGCGTCAGACGCCTATAAACAGCTCCTGCGAGTCATCGTGATAATGTAATCTTGAAACCATCAGCATTTTTTTTTGCATGATTTAGTACAAAAATTACATTTAAAAAAAAAAATATTCAGGGAAGGTTTTATTTATTTTTTTCAAAATCAATTTTGTTGATTTTTTCGTGCTAGAAACCGCCATGTGCATCCTGTTCCTGGAGCTGTCCGCCTGCCCCGCGCCCGACGGCTACCGCCTGATCCTGGCCTCCAACAGGGATGAGGCCTACCGGCGGCCCACCGACCACGCGCACCACTGGGAGGAGGCGCCCAGCGTTTTCGGAGGTCAGTGCGTCCAGCCTCGTGGTCACTGGTCCAGCCTGTGCACTGCCTTGGCGTCTCGCCGTCTCGCGCCCAGCAGACTGATGGTGAACAGTGCTTAGTCGCCCTGGCTCTTCCACACTCACGAATGCTCGTAGACCGGCGAGATCCGCAGTCGATAAAAGAAGGCCGACTGGACAAACATCCGAGTCCGACCGTCGTGGAGGGAGGCGAAGAGGCGCCTGGTACACAGACAACCCAACCGTCGCGGGCGTCCGGCGGGGGGCCGTGGGGCCGCTTCAGGGCGTGCCGCAGTGGGCCAGAGACCGGTGGAGGCGGCCAAAACTCTAGACGCGTTTTGAGCTCCAGAGTCGCTAAATGGGACTCGAACCTAACCTGTGACCCCACCAATGGATTGCTCTCCGAACGAAGAATCCATTGGTGGGGTCACACGTTCGGTTCGAGGCCTGTTTAGCGACTCTGGAGCTCAAAACGCGTCTGGAGTTTTGGCCGCCTCCACCGGTCTTCTGGCACACTGTGCGTGCCCGGGCTCTCTCAGGCCTGCCGCTGGCTCTCTCGCACACATGGCACGTCCCGTACGTCCCGTAGGGCCAATGGACCAATGGGGTGGGAGAGAGGGGTGGAATTCAGAATTTGGTCTCTTCCATTGCAGGGCGCGACCAGGAGCCTGGCCGCGAGGGCGGCACCTGGCTGGCCTTGGACACGGCGGGCCGCGGCCGCCTCGCCGTGCTGCTCAACGTGATGGGGTCGCCGACGCAGAGCGACATGCGGCCGCGGGGCTCCCTGGTGTCCGACTTCGTGCGCGGGGAGTTGCACGCCAAGGACTACGCGGAGGCCCTCGCCAAGGACGGCTTGGAGTACAGCGCCTTCCACCTCGTCACCATCGACCTGGAGTAAGCGGAGCGGGGCGGGGCCTTGGGGCACTGACCGCCGCCTTATCTTTCGCAGGACCGTTGACTGATTCGCTGACCGCTCCGTCCCTCTCGCACTCGTGGGGCGTCCCGCCAGTGTGCGAGAGGGACGGAGCGACGAAACGCACAGTGGGCCAGATGACCGGTGGAGGCGGCCAAAACTCAAGACGCGTTTTGAGCTCCAGAGTCGCTAAATGGGACTCGAACCGAACGTGACCCCACCAATGGATTCCTCGTTGGGAGAGCAATCCATTGGCGGGGTCACGCGATGGTTCCGAGTCCCATTTAGCGACTCTGGAGCTCAAAACGCGTCCAGAGTTTTGGCCGCCTCCACCGGTCTTCTGGCCCACTGTGAAACGCCCTGCGGAATCGGTCTGATGACTGTCCGCCTTACAGCGAGGCGTCGGGCGGCCTGTGGCACTACAGCAACTGCTCCCCGGAGGAAGGGGTGGCGTCCGAGGTGACGCACTTCCGCAGCGGCCGCCTGTCGCTGGGCAACTCGGTGGTGCAGGAGCCCTTCCGCAAAGTGGCGGCCGGCGGCGAGCGCTTCGACGCCATCCTGGCGGAGCGGCGCGCCGACCGCGACCGCCTCGTGGAGGAGCTGGTGGCGCTGCTCAAGTGGGACCACACGTGAGTCAAACCGCCCCTTTCTTGCTTCTGCGCCATTGTAAAGCCGCGGTCTGGTCTTTTCTGATAGGGTATTCCGATGGAACTGAACCGGAACCCCGAGCAGTAGAAATATCTGGATCCGGTATGAGAAATCAGGTGTGCGGAGGACTGAAAGTATGCAAAATCGGGTGTGCGAATGACCTCCGCACACCTGATTTCTCATACCGGATCCAGATATTTCTACTGCTCGGGGTTCCGGTTCAGATCCATCGGAATACCCTATTGCGATTGTGATACTTTTCAGGCACTTCCCGGATGAGAGGCTGGCGAGCAGGGCGGCGAGGAGCAACCTCAGCCTGGAGAGGCTGCAGCAGTTCAGCTCCATCTACCAGAGGCATGCCAACTACGGCACGAGGTGATGCGATGCTGCGTGCCATGGCGAGAGAATGCCTTACAGTGCCTCACTTCCTCCTGTCTAAACCTGGTCTTGCCCGCAGAACGCACACGGTCATCCTGGTGGACGCGAACTGGCGCTGCGACTACTACGAGTGGACCCTCGGAGAGAGCCGCGAAGCCGTGGACCCGGACAAGTCCCGCTGGAACTACATCCACAAGACGTTCCAGCTGGGGCCGTCCGCGTAGCGCGTAGGGTATCTAAGTTACGTTTCATTCTAAACGGGTCAATATATAATTAAGATTCTGTACTCACCAACGTAAGTCGTCGTGTCATGTCTTGCCACGTCTTGCCGTGTCTTGCCATGTACTTGTAACCCCTCTACGTCAAGTCTGCACTCGGCAGGCTGACGCATGTTGAGATTATTTTCATCGTTTGATGTGTTTGTGTGAAGAGGAAATAGTCGTGTACCAATTGTTGATTATTTAGAGTCTGTTTATGTAAATGCACTGTGATAACGCGTGCCTGCACTGTGATAACACGTGCCTGCAGTGCGCCCGTCGCCGTTAATTCGCTTCCTTATTACCTCAAAGAGTCTATTAATCCATGTTCCATGTAAAATGGGCGCCTCGGTCATATTTCTGTGTCGTGCTAGTCGTCCCAGTGCTCAACGAAAAATAAACGCTTTCCGCCACTCGGCGTGTGCGTCCATCACTCCCGCACCTGTGTTGTCACACACACACACACACACACACACACACACACACGCCTTCAGCACCGCGGCTGCCAACCTGGGAAACTAATGGTAATAATTGCTACCAACCCTTGGAGGCTCGTCCAAACCCACTCACAGTCACACTGCGTTCGTTCTGAGAAGGTTGGCGCGTCGGGCGTTTTAGGCGTGGCCATTGGGTTGGCGTGCTGCGGGCCTGCGGGCCTGCGGGCCTGGGAACCACCTCGGGACGGGAACACAGTGCGGTGCCGCGGCCCACACATGCCCAGCCGGGCCGGGCCGGGCCGCCACCTCGCTATTTGCGCCACTGCGAGGTAGCCCGACTGCAGGCCCATCCCGAACAGGGCTCCCGTCGCTCGGTCTCTCTCTCTCATCCCTACCGAACGCCGCACGAGTGCGAGAGAGACAGGGCGACGAAAGCACTGTTCGGAGCGGGCCTGCTGGAGGCTGGCGGGGCCCTGGAAGCTCCAGGAACCTCCCGGAGCGAGCGAGTTAGCACCTCGTAAAGCGAGGAGGCGGCGTTGGTTGGTACTCCTGCGCGAGTGCGAGCTGTAAATATTGGCCGTGCTGATGGCCCACGGGACTCACACGACAGAGAGAGAAGGCAGAGTTTTTCTTGTTTATTAGACGCTTTTACTATATTACAATGCTACTTGCAGGTGTACTCCTCGTAGCGGTCCGTGCACACCTCGCAGTGCACGTAGCAGCACCAGTGGAACTTGCAGTGGCACTGGCGGCTGCTCGTCACCTGCCGCGTGTTGTACCCGCGGCCGCAGCACATCACCGCGCACCCGTCCGCGCCTGGAAAGTCAGAGAAACGTTTAGAAGGGGACGCTCAAAACGCCCGGGCAACACGGCGGCACGGGGACGCCGTCGGGCTCAGCAATGCAGTCCCGTCACGCAGCGCTGCTTCACGGGACTGCCCACCCACCGGGCGCCTCAAGCCCCTTACGGAGGCAGGGTAGGCAGTCCCGTCACGCAGCGCTGCTTCACGGGACTGCCCACCCACCGGGCGCCTCAAGCCCCTTACGGAGACAGGGTAGGCAGTCCCGTCACGCAGCGCTGCTTCACGGGACTGCCCACCCACCGGGCGCCTCAAGCCCCTTACGGAGGCAGGGTAGGCAGTCCCGTCACGCAGCGCTGCTTCACGGGACTGCCCACCCACCGGGCGCCTCAAGCCCCTTACGGAGGCAGGGTAGGCAGTCCCGTCACGCAGCGCTGCTTCACGGGACTGCCCACCCACCGGGCGCCTCAAGCCCCTTACGGAGACAGGGTAGGCAGTCCCGTCACGCAGCGCTGCTTCACGGGACTGCATCAGAGAGTTCGACGGCTTCCGTGCGCCACGCTGTAGTGTGGGCTGGCACTGTCTCTTTCGCACCCGTGGGCCGTAGGGCCGCACGCGTGCGAGGGAGACAGAGCGTCGGGTCGTACCTCTGGACGTGCGGTTGCAGGCGCGGCCGGCGGTGCCGAGGGATCCCAGGGCGATGTCCCGGTCGCAGTAGTTGGGGGAGACCTGCAGGAAGACGAGGTCGGTGCGGCGCGGCAGGCGGGGCGCGGCGGCGTGGCCGTGGAGGTGCTGCTGGTGCACGGCGGTGCGGCTGTTGCGGCCCTGGGCGTGTCCCTGGGCGTGGCGCACGGCCAGACGCAGCCCCACGGGGTGGCGGCGCGCGCGGGCCGCGGGCACGGGCAGCGCCACGGCGGGCCAGGCCGCCCGGTAGCGCGCCATCAGGTGGTCGCCGACGACGCGGAACTGCGCCAGGCTGGTCCAGCACGTGCGGATGCTGCAGCTGCCCGACACGCCGTGGCACTTGCAGTCCGTCTGCAGCGTCAGCTTCACGGCCTGGGGGACAAGGAGCACCACGTCCTGACGTCCTCGCTCTTACCTTATCGCGGCCCACGCGCACTCTGCTCTGTAATTTGACTTTCTCCGTCTCACTGGCGGCAATTGAACCATTAAGGCGCCGTACAATAAAGCGAACTGGACTTGTGGAAGGTCCGCCGCCAGGAATAACCATTTCTTTCTGTACGGACGCGCCAGCAGTGCGCTCTCTCTCTCTCTCTCTCTCTCTCTCTCTCTCTCTCTCTCTCTCTCTCTCTCTCTCACTCACTCACTCACTCACTCACACACACACACACACACCAGGCAGGCAGGCAAAGAGGCGACGCCTTGGCGGATGAAGCCATAAGGTGGGGTAATAAGACGGAATAAACGACGACATTTGCGTCACCGTTTAGTCACACTTAAGATCCCTACCGATTCAACAACACAAACAAACGCGCGCGTCGTTCCATGGAAAAACCTTCCTGTTTCACGAAGCAGGGAAAAGGTGGAAAGAGGGGGGGGGCGGTATGGCGGAGAGGTTGCCGTCAAATAACCGCGTGGCCGCGAAGGTGGATGGAGAAGGAGAAGGTTTCGGGTTTAGCGCGGCAGCCTTGTGCACGGCGTGGCGATGCCATTTGAGTGGCTCAGCCGGACTGGACTGAAATCGAGTGAAGAGGGGAAAGGAATGACACGTAATAGACGGCACGCGAACGCGGTTCGTTTCTTAGTTTAGTTTCGATCGGTTTCGATGCCATTTTGGTGGCATGTATCTTTTGTTGTGTCCGTCGCGACACACTGCGAGCACCACGAAAAGCCACGGCGTGGGATTCATTCAATTCCCCTCATCGGATCCGGCGAGAGGGTTGTGTGTGGTGTCCACTGCGTCCACTGCGTCCCCGTCGGGTACTTACAGTGAGAGGACGGGTCGACCTTTGAAAGGGCAATGCGACAAGGACGGCCAAGAATAAAAAAGGAGCGAAAGATTAACGCCTGGCCACGAAGATAGTGGATGGCCAGCAGTATCGTAGGAGTCCGGCGCAGAAGGTGCAGCGCGAGAGAGGGGGGGGGGGGCTCTGTGCGGAACAAAGGCATATAGTGCCTGCATCGTCTGCTCATTATTTTCGTGTTTGAATGGGAGAATACGTGTTTGAGACTTTGAAATGTATCAGCGCTTACGATCGGCCGCCGGCCGCCCCGGTCGCACGGGGGACATGGCGGTGCGGTGTCCACGCCATAAACAAAGACTTTTCCTTGTTGCTTGTTGTTGCTTTTCAGGCGACTATTTTTACTAATCAAACGGAACAGGGGCGTGCGGGATGAGGAAGCTCTGGCCGGTTCTCTTACGCGGAGACACGGCATACTACCCGGTGGAAATGTTTTCGGAACGACGATTTGGTTGAAATGAGGCAGCCGCACTGTAAGTTGTCGTGGTGGACAACCTGCGGGCTGCGCCACGACCGCGACCACCGCGACGCGCGCGCGAGAGAGAGAGAGAGAGAGAGAGAGAGAGAGAGAGAGAGAGAGAGAGAGAGAGAGAGAGAGAGAGAGAGAGAGAGAGAGGGAGAGAGAGAGAGAGAGAGAGAGAGAGAGAGAGAGAGAGAGAGAGAGAGAGAGAGAGAGAGAGAGAGAGACGGGGCGAGTGCTGTTCGGAATGAGGCTGCTGCCGGCTGGGCTGGCTGGGCTCCCCAGTGTGGAGTCCACGCCGCGACCCGTCCTCGACTCCTCGACCGGATTAGTAACACCTCTACTCGCGCTGCTGTCTTAATGGCCATCCGTCATAGAACCTCCGCATTCTTTACGGCCTCCAGCGCCTGGAAGGCGAACGGAATGCCGCAGCACCGACTGCGGCCTCCACGGGGCCTCAAGGGGCCACACGGGGTCCACGGCGCGCGCATTTGTTTTACGGGCGGAACCGTCGTCGGGCACCTTCGAGGCGAATTTCGCCGGGGAGTCTGCGAGAGAGACAGGGAAGCTCACCTTCCGGCCCGCCTTGCTGTTGTGGCTGTCCATGAGCAGGCGCGGCGCCAGCAGGCTGTTGGGCTGGAGGGGCGGCGGCGTCGGCTGCGCCGCGTCCGTGAACGTCCTGGACAGCTTGGCGCCGTACTCCACGTCGGAGGAGCAGCCGCCCCAGCGGAACGCCGCCTGCGGCTCCGAGGACGCGCCGAGGGGGCCGAGGGGGCCCAGGTTGTTGGGGACGCCGTGGCTGGCGCCGGGGACGACGGGCACCTTCTTGGCACAGCTGCAGCCCGCCAGCTCGCCGCGCGCGCACGCCGTGGACGCCGCCCAGGAGATGGCCGCCGCCTGCACCGCCAGCCCGAACGCCGCCTCGCGGCTCGCTGCGAGAAGGAGGAGAAGAGTTCCAAGTGTGAGGGAGGTCGCTGTCCGAAACAGTCTCAGACGAGGGGACTGCGTCCAGACCGAGTCCAGGCCCCACTATTATCATTATCATTATGCATATGGCACCGGGCGGCGCTGCGGCGCTGCCGCGCTGCCGTGCCCACCCAGCACGACGGAGGGGAAGGGCCTCCGAGGCGAGGCGCTGCCGGGCCGCGGTACAAAGGGAATTTCAAAGAGGTGGCCCGCTATCGCTACCGCGATGGCCGAGTCCAAAGCAAAGTTTAAAAACGAATCGAAACCCTCACAAGCTGGTCTGGCGGTGCTTAGAGTACTTTTCCGCGCTGCAAGTCGCCCTTCCCTTCTCGTTAGCCTTCTCGCCGCCTAGATGGATGGTCATTGGGCTCCGCCGCGTTCACCACGTTAGGCCCCTCGTATTAGTGTGAGTGCGCGAGTGGGAGGGAGGCGCGATGAGGCTCTATTAACGACTTTGACAGAGATACAAATCGTGGCGTCCTCGATTCGGTCCTTGATTCCCACACGGCCGCCCAATCTCTTTCACGAAGGGTGATCAGCCTGATTTAACCTTTATTAAGGGGGTGGGGCGGGGCGGGGGGCGGGCGGCCAATATCGCGCTGCTTTATGGCGCGGGCCACGCCCCCCCCCCCCCCCCCCCGCCGCCGCGACACGCCCAGCGCGCAGTCGCGGCGCAGTCCCACATCATAACAGTTCTATTATTCATTGCCTGGTGGCCGCCCTCCGCCGCGCGCACCGGATCCGCGAAGCGGTGAAGCGGCGAAGCGGGCGAAGCCATGCTCGCCTGTCAATTATAATCGATACTGCGTGTCGATATATCGAAAGGGATCCGAGAGCGCCGCGATATGATCGATACGATTGGCCAGATGGACGTGGCACTGCAGCATAGCACTGCATAGCGCGATGACGGGAAGCCGAGGCCGGGGGCGGCCGCGAGGCAGTGGCGTAGTGCGCCGTCGTGCAACCTCGCCTGACCTGACCCACTAGAAGGGGTGCGCCACCACTGGTTACCCTTTACCCGCCTCTCGCTGGCCGGCAGGCTGATTCCGAGCAGTCGTTCTGTCTCTCTCGCACTCGCGGGGCGTTGCGTTACGGGGTGCGAGAGTGAGAGAGACAGGGCGCTGTCCGGAATCACTCTGCAGCCGTGGCCAATCGCCTCGCCTCGCGGATGCATGTCCTGCCTCGTGCCACCCAGTGCCACCACCGCCCTGCTGCCCCGGTCGTGACTGCGGCCTGCCCGGCTGCCCGGCGCACACAGCAAAGGACGCGCGTTTAGGGATCTAACACGCCGCAGGCAGCCGGAGGTCGAATCGTTGCATCACTGTCCCTCTCTCTCTCTCTCTCTCTCCCCCTCTCTCTCTCTCTCTCTCTCTCTCTCTCCCTCCCTCCCTCTCCCTCCCTCTCCCTCCCTCACCCCCTCTCTCGCTCACTCTCCCGCGGCGCGGCGATGCGGAGGTTGGCGCTATCTCAGGGCGGGGGTTCGGATACTATAGATTCACACAATCCTTGAATGTACTTTGCTTTTAATCTTGGTAACTTCAACCCGCTAGCTACACACACCTTCCAGTGTGTAGGCAGCGTGCTTCCGCGCGCACCGGAACAGACTTCGTCCGGCAGTACGGTGTCCGCGGCCGCGGAAAGCGCGCGCTTCTCCCACAGTGTGTGTTCCACCGAGTGTCCCACCGCTCCTCCTCGATCGAGAGCCGAGTGGGATCGGAAACAAAAGGCCGGAGATACATAAATAAAGGACTGGCTGTGGGCCGGACAGGTGTATTGACGAAAGGCGGGGCCGCGCAGGCCGCCGTGCCGCGCGAGTGGCGACGCGACGAAAACCATTTTTCTTATTTATTCAGAATTGGCGGCGCACGACCGACTGTTCCGTCTCCCTCGCGCTCACCGGGCAGCGCGACGCGTGGGGGTGAGAGAGAGACGGAGCGACGAAAGCGGTTGTTCGGAGGTGCGGGCCTTGCGGCCTGCGGGGTGGGTCGAGGAACGGACGCGAGTGTGTCGTGCCGACAGACGGCGGCGTGTCGTCTCGGGGGTCCACTGTTTTAGAGTAGTGGTGTGGCGGCATGCTGGCGGCCTGGCGGTGCGGGGCGTGGCAGTGCTTTTAAGAAGCGCTCGCCGAGTCGCCGCGTCGCCGCGGGGCAAGGTGCCTTTCACGCCAACGCCGAGACGGCCGCCACAGAGGCCACAGCACCGTCGGCTCGGTCGGCACCGTGCCGGCCCGCACAGTGGGTCAGAAGACCGAAGGAGGCGGCCAAAACTCTAGAAGCGTTTTGAGCTCCAGAGTCGCTAAATGGGACTCGAACCGAACGTTTGGCCCCACCAATGGATTCCTCGTTCGGAGAGCAAGCCATTGGTGGGGTCACACGTTCGGTTCGAGTCCCATTTAGCGACTCTGGAGCTCAAAACGCGTCGAGACTTTTGGCCGCTTCCACCGGTCTTCTGGCCCACTGTGGCCCGGCGCACCGCCCGGCGGACTGCAACGAAGGAGCGCAAGGAAGGCCAGAAAAAAGATTACTACAGCGCATGCCGGCTCATGCCCATTTTGCAGGTCCAAATCTGCGAGCGAGAAACCAATCGCGTCGCTCACTCAGCGTCAGTGTTGCGGCGCACACGCGGATAAGGCGGAGTGCAGCGTGAGAGAGAGAGAGAGAGAGAGAGAGAGAGAGAGAGAGAGAGAGAGAGAGAGAGAGAGAGAGAGAGAGAGAGTGTGTACTGTGTGTGCGAGTGCGTGTGTGTGAGTGAGTCTGAGCGCGCAGGGCAGGCAGGACACGGTTTGCGGAGGGACAGTCCATTCGTCACAGAGCGCACCGGATGGTAGGGCGGGGAGGCGAAAGGGAGTTCCGCGACTAAATGGAGCAGTACCCGCCCCGCCCCGCCCCGCCCCGCCCCGCCCCGCCCCGCCCCGCCACCCACTGCCGGCGCTCGGGCCGCCCACACAGCGGCGGCGCACTAGTGCAAGTCGGCCAGGTGCGAGACCACTGCCGCCGCCCCTTGGTCCGAGGGTGTGGCGTGGTCGTCGAGGCCCCGAGCCGCCATAGCCGCAGCAGGCTGACTCCGAGCACAGCGCCGTCTCACTCGCACCGCGAACGACACGCCCTGCGAGTGCGAGAGAGACAGAGCGACAGCCTTCAGCCCCCAGCCGTCAATCAGCCGCTGATTGGAACGCGGAGGCCGCGGCGCCGCCCCGCCCCGCCGCCAGCCGACGGCAGCCAATGGGTGCGCGCCGGCTTGCGCGCCGCCGCCACGCCACGCCCCCTTGGGGCTCCGCGTGCTCCGCGGCCCCCGCGCCCCGCCGCGCCGCGCACCACGCGCACGCAAGCCGTGACGAGTCACTCCAGCACGGACTGGAGCACTGCGCGCAAACGCCGCGCCAAAGTCCTATCTTTCCGGAGGGCGCGCACTGGGCGGGCTCCTTCGAGGCGAGCAGAGCTGCGGCCTGCTTCCGGAAAGTGCGTCCTCGCGCTGTCTCTCTCGCACCGCGACGGGGCGTCCAGTGAGTGCGAGTGAGAGAGATGGCGCGGCAGGGCGACGAAAGCGCTGTTCGGATCGGCCTGCTCTGCTGCGGCGGTTCGTCACGGCCGGGGCGTTTTGCGGGTTGAGGTCTGCAGGGTCTGCAGCGGTCGTGGCGAGGCGTGGCCGCTGGCCGATGGCGACAAATTGCAAACCGCTTTCGCTTTGAGCGTCGCCGCGTCGTACAGTGGGCCAGAAGACCGGTGGAGGCGGCCAAAACTCCAGACGCGTTTTGAGGTCCAGAGTCGCTAAACAGGACTCGAACCGAACGTGTGACCCCACCTATGGGTTTCTCGTTCGGAGAGCAATCCATTGGTGGGGTCACACGTTCGGTTCGAGTCCCATTTAGCGACTCTGGAGCTCAAAACGCGTCTAGAGTTTTGGCCGCCTCCACCGGTCTTCTGGCCCACTGTGCGTCGCCGCCAACCTGACGTCAAGGACCCTGAAACCCCTGCGGGGTAGGCACCGGGGACGCACGGGTGCACGCGGCCCGCGCGGCTGCCTACCCGGCAGGCTGACAGGCTGCCGCTGAGGTAGTCGCCGCCACGTCGCCGCCCCGGTCGCCGCCATCCGTCACGAGGAGGCGGTGGAAGTAGTGGCCGGCATGCGGCGAACGGCACCTCGTAAATCTCGACCAGGTCGGTCAGGCCGGTCAGGCCGCGCGCTTTAAAAGACTCGGAAATATATCGTTTAGCGTCGCGACGCCGCCACACTGTTCCGTCGCCCCGTCTCTTTCGCTCCCCTGCGGGCCGCTCCATGAGTGCGAGAAAGAAAGAGCGCCACTGCGGAATCGGCCTGCGGCCCGGTCGGCCGTAACCTCCGCTCCTCTCGCAAAACTTAACTCGGTGCGTCAGTTTACGACGGCGGGGGTGGGGGGAGGACGACGCGCTGTCGACGCGACGTTGCACAGTGGGCCAGAAGACCGGCGGAGGCGGCCAAAACTGCAGACGCGTTTTGAGCTCCAGAGTCGCTGAGCAGGACTCGAACCGAACGTGTGACCCCACCAATGGATTCCTCGTTCGGAGAGCAATCCATTGGTGGGGTCACACGTTCGGTTCGAGTCCTATTTAGCGACTCTGGAGCTCGAAGCGCGTCTGGAGTTTTGGCCGCCTCCGCCGGTCTTCTGGCCCACTGTGCGTTGTGGGCTGAACCGGAGCAGTGCTACCGTCGCTCTGTTGCTCTCACACTCGTCGGGCATCGGTCGGGCATCCCGTAGGGGAGTGAGGGAGACAGCGACGAGGGCACTGTGGGGACGAGCCTGCAGGCAGCAGTCTGGATAGACCACCCTTTGGTTTACCGGTGCGGACGGCGGACTTACCCACTCTGATGACGAGGGGCATGGAGCTGGCGTGGCTGGCGTGCGGCGGCGGACTTACCCACTCTGATGACGAGGGGCATGGAGCTGGCGTGGCTGGCGTGCGGCGGCGGACTTACCCACTCTGATGACGAGGGCATGGAGCTGGCGTGGCTGGCGTGCGGCGGCGGACTTACCCACTCTGATGACGAGGGGCATGGAGCTGGCGTGGCTGGCGTGCGGCGGCGGACTTACCCACTCTGATGACGAGGGGCATGGAGCTGGCGTGGCTGGCGTGCGGCGGCGGACTTACCCACTCTGATGACGAGGGGCATGGAGCTGGCGTGGCTGGCGTGCGGCGGCGGACTTACCCACTCTGATGACGAGGGGCATGGAGCTGGCGTGGCTGGCGTGCGGCGGCGGACTTACCCACTCTGATGACGAGGGGCATGGAGCTGGCGTGGCTGGCGTGCGGCGGCGGACTTACCCACTCTGATGACGAGGGGCATGGAGCTGGCGTGGCTGGCGTGCGGCGGCGGACTTACCCACTCTGATGACGAGGGGCATGGAGCTGGCGTGGCTGGCGTGCGGCGGCGGACTTACCCACTCTGATGACGAGGGGCATGGAGCTGGCGTGGCTGGCGTGCGGCGGCGGACTTACCCACTCTGATGACGAGGGGCATGGAGCTGGCGTGGCTGGCGTGCGGCGGCGGACTTACCCACTCTGATGACGAGGGGCATGGAGCTGGCGTGGCTGGCGTGCGGCGGCGGACTTACCCACTCTGATGACGAGGGGCATGGAGCTGGCGTGGCTGGCGTGCGGCGGCGGACTTACCCACTCTGATGACGAGGGGCATGGAGCTGGCGTGGCTGGCGTGCGGCGGCGGACTTACCCACTCTGATGACGAGGGGCATGGAGCTGGCGTGGCTGGCGTGCGGCGGCGGACTAACCCACTCTGATGACGAGGGGCATGGAGCTGGCGTGGCTGGCGTGCGGCGGCGGACTTACCCACTCTGATGACGAGGGGCATGGAGCTGGCGTGGCTGGCGTGCGGCGGCGGACTTACCCACTCTGATGACGAGGGGCATGGAGCTGGCGTGGCTGGCGTGCGGCGGCGGACTTACCCACTCTGATGACGAGGGGCATGGAGCTGGCGTGGCTGGCGTGCGGCGGCGGACTTACCCACTCTGATGACGAGGGGCATGGAGCTGGCGTGGCTGGCGTGCGGCGGCGGACTTACCCACTCTGATGACGAGGGGCATGGAGCTGGCGTGGCTGGCGTGCGGCGGCGGACTTACCCACTCTGATGACGAGGGGCATGGAGCTGGCGTGGCTGGCGTGCGGCGGCGGACTTACCCACTCTGATGACGAGGGGCATGGAGCTGGCGTGGCTGGCGTGCGGCGGCGGACTTACCCACTCTGATGACGAGGGGCATGGAGCTGGCGTGGCTGGCGTGCGGCGGCGGACTTACCCACTCTGATGACGAGGGGCATGGAGCTGGCGTGGCTGGCGTGCGGCGGCGGACTTACCCACTCTGATGACGAGGGGCATGGAGCTGGCGTGGCTGGCGTGCGGCGGCGGACTTACCCACTCTGATGACGAGGGGCATGGAGCTGGCGTGGCTGGCGTGCGGCGGCGCGGAGCAGTTCCAGCGCTCGTGGCGGAACTGGTGCTGGCACTCCTGCAGGGCGAGGCGCAGCCCCGAGCCCACGGCCGCCATGGCGTCGGGGGAGGCGCGGCACAGCGCGCGCTGCCGGGGTGACAGGCCCGCCACGCGCGCGCACAGCAGAGCCACGCCGGCGGGGCCGGACCAGGACCTGCAACACGGCGAGCAAGACGAGGTGGGAACATGTCTGGTCAGTAATTTGCCTGGAACGTCCGTACTTGCCAACTACGGAACGTTCCGTACTTTTTTTCCGTACCCATTTACATGGGTTCATATGGAGCAAGTACGGAACGTTCCGCACTTTCCTCCGTACCTCCGTACTATATTTTTCTGTACCCTTTCCGTACAAAAGTACGGAATTTTTTACAGTGTCAGCGCAGTCGTTGCTCTGTCTCTCTCGCACCTGCGCGGGACGCTCCATAAGTGCGAGAGAGACAGAGCAGCCTGCCGGAGGGTGGTCCCGGCGAGTCTGATAATTGGTCCCGGTCACTTCGGCCCGAAGAAGCCATCGACTGGTCGCCCAGCAATGGCCCGGTGCGTATTGTGAATCCCGATGTTGTGATGGGCCGTAAAGTAAAGCCGATTATGACCGGAGAAATTGGTGTCCTTGTCATGTAGCAGGTGGCTCCCTCGTGTGATATAGTGGCTAGCGCGGGTGGCGATGCTGGTCGGGTTGTTTTGTTGTGTCGAGTCGTGTCTGCGCCGTTTCGTCCGGTTTTCGTGCGGAGGGTAAGCGGCGTGGGACGACCGCGGTGGGCTCGTATGTGTGCGTGTGTGTATGTGTGCGTTGCTCACATCTGACACTTCATTACGCATTATTGATGACTGATCCGCGATGCTCGCACACACACACACAAACACACACAAACACACACACACACATACACACACACACACACCAAATACACACACAAACAAACCAAATACACGCACTCACGAGTGTTCCTTCCCGCTTGATACTCCCGTCCCGCGGAGAATCCCGATTGGCGGAGTCCTTTTCGCAATTGCGCGACGCTCGGGAGGCCATCAAAACGATCATAACACGTCGGGCATCGCAACATCGCGCCCCCGAACTCTGCCACATTGTCGCCAATTTCGCGTCATTTCGGGGACGTAAAATATGTTTTGGTGGCTGCTCGGGCCGCTGCGTGCCGCTGCGTCGCCGCGTTAAACGCCGTTCCTTCCAGGTCAGGGGAACCGTAAAGTGAGGACGCGGAGCCTGTTTTATTCGGCCGGGGCTCAATTCTGGTTCTATTGCAGCCATTCGGCGTTAAACTGAATTGAGGCTCCACTGTTTTATCGACCGCGTCCTCCATGAGTGGATAGGTACAATCTAGAGGGCCGCGGTGGGTTTCTTTGAGGAAAGCCGCTGTTTGGGCTGGTTGGTTAGCCTGGTTTAGTCAGAGTGAGACTCGAGGGCGGTCTGTCGGAAGCTAGCATCTACTACTGACGGCTTCCTCAATTTGCGAACAGGAAAGAAATAAAATTTCTCTTCGCTTGAATGGTATGGGAAGGTTGGAACATTCGTTCTTGGGGGTGGGAGCGCGGCGTCCCGCGTGAAGGCGGCGTGTCTTTGAACGGGGCCTGGGTGGCGTTTGATCGTCGGGAAGGCGACCGTAAGCCGGCCATGAGACTCGCCATCAGGCCACAACCACTCACTCTCGTGATCCGGCTCGGCGAACGACGCACAGTGGGCCAGAAGGCCGGTGGAGCGGCCAAAATTCGAGACGCGTTTTGAGCTCCAGAGTCGCTAATTATGACTCGAATAGAACGTGTGACACCACCAATGGATTGCTCCCCGAACGAGGCATCCATTGGTGGGGTCACACGGTCGGTTGGTGTCCCATTTAGCGACTCTGGAGCTCAAAACGCGTCTCGAATTTTGGCCGCTCCACCGGCCTTCTGGCCCACTGTGCGCCGAGTGGCGCCTGCCCTCCCTCGCCTGCAGACTGATTCCCTAGGTCTGTCTCCCTCGCACCCACGCAGTACGCCCTGCGAGTGCGAGAGAGAGGGGGGATCTCCCGCTCGGAATCAGTCCGCTGCCCTCACTCCGGTTCGTTCCGCTATCGGGGAAATATTGCCGCCATCAAAGTTTAAAACGTCAATATTTCGGGGCGTTACGGCGACGGGGCCAACTAATGTTGTCCGAGGTGGGCGCAACGCGCGGCGCGGCGCGGTCTTGAGTTTCAGCCGGCCGATTCCGAGCGGACCTTCCGTCGCTGTCTCTCTCATTCTCACGGAGCGCTCGGCAGGCGTGCGAGAGAGACGGCGCTACGAAACGCTGCTCTGTTCGGAGTCCGACCACAAAGACCTCGACCCAGAGAACAGGAAAGGGTCATATTGACGTCAAGTGAGCTAAAATTGATAAAATTTTGTCAGGCTCTGCATCAGTGACCCCTCATGACTAGAATTTGACTCGGTATTTTGTGTCAAATTCATATCATAAGATATCACATTCAATAAAAGGATATCAATTGACGTGCTCTTGACGTCAAAAATCGCTAACTTTGACCGTCGGCAATGATGTCATCTTGTCACCAATCATTTGACATCATCGTGACCTTTTTCTGTTCTTTGGGGACGCACTCGCGTGGCGTCGCGGCGCGGCGCGCAATGGCCCGTTTTGCCCAAGTAGAGACTTGAGTAAATCCCGGGGCGTTTGGGTGCCGGGCAGTGCCGGGCCGGGCAGAGCCGCGGTCCTCACGCGCCGGGCGTCGTTGTCGTCTCTCGATCATTTCGAATCAGCCAGCTGGAGATTTGCAAAGACTGTTCCCGCCGGGCGAACCGACCTTACGTCTTGTCTTGATTTTCGTCGGATTGGTTGGTTTTTTGGAAACAAATCTCGCTGTCATCGAGGAACGCAAAACGTGGCCCCGGACCGGCCCCGTCGCGACCTGGGCCACGCCAGTAGTTTCTTTGGCCGAAATACAAATGACCCGAGACGGGCCGAGACAGGGCCGAGACACGGCCAAGGCCCGCAGCGTCCCCGCGAGCAAAGCTAGCGATTTTTCACATGTTGGCCGAGCTGCGCAAGCGTTGGCATGGAAATGTCGAGAAAAAGATTCCGCCGAGAGGAACGTCAAGAACGCGTCAACGCGAAGACAGAAAAAAGAAGGACGCCGCAACATTCTGGTGTGGCTGTTCAGAGAGGGTGGCCCGAGGACCCCGTCGAACTCCCTGGCAGTGCAAAGCAATGCTACACAGCGCTTTCGTAGCGCTGTCTCTCTCGCACTCATGGGTCGTGCCGCGAAGGTGCGAGAGAGACAGACTGTGCGGGATCCAGTCTGCAGGGCAGGCCTTGGGGCCGGGCGGGGCCGGGCGGGGCGGGGCACTGCCGGAATGTTTGCCCAGTGCGACGTCGCGACGTCGGTTTGGCCGGACTCCAGCGCTCCGTCGCGGCCGATGTGTTAATTAATTTAAAAGGCATTCACGCCTCGACCGCGTCATCCGCCGTCCGCTGCCCGGGCAGCCGGCCGACGGGGTGCTGCCGTGCTGCCCTGGCGGCGCGAGGCGCGATACCGCGCGATACGCCTCCAGCAGGCCGAGCAGGCCGAGCAGGCTCAGTCCGAACAGTGCTTGCGGGGCTCTGTCTCTGTCACACTGCCGGGGCGTCCATAGGGGTGACAGCGCGACGAAGCCCTGTTCGTAGTCGGCTGCCGACGGCGCCACTAGAACCAGCTAATGGGTCTGCTCTCCACTTCGCGCCCTGCCATCCTCAAAGGGGCAAGGCCAGGCAAGGCAGGGCAGGGCAGGCCAGGGACTCGGCCGTGGACATTACTCTTACTCGCGCCGCGCCGACAGAAAGCATTTTTCCCCGCGCCCCTGTCGGGCTGTCGGATGCAGGGCGTTACTGCACGCCGCTGTTCTGCCCTGGGTTCACGCGCTGGATAACGTTCTCGGACGCCGCACCACGCGCCACGCTGCGACGCGTTTTTGGTAGTTTGGCGGGAGTCGAGTTTGAGAGTGGATTTATGTCGAAATTAGAATTGAGGCCAGCGAACGCGGAGACTTGAACGCAGGCGCCGCCTTCCCGGCGCGGCAGGGAGCAGGAGAGCACCACGACGGCGGCTTTCCACCGCCACGCCACTGCCACCGCCGCCTCCGGGGCCGTCTCTTACTCTGGGATTCCTCCGCGCTTCACTGTCACGCATTAATTAATTAATTTGGCCGCGTTTGGGGGCCTTGCGGGCCTTGGGGGCGGCCTCCGGGCAAGTTACACTTCTCGCACTTGACGGCGTGCCGGCGGCACGGCGGCCGGCTACTAGTACCACCCACAACCCGTCATTTACCACCTGGAAGGCGTGGTGCGGCGGCGCGGCGTCGCCCGGGGCGGCAAGGCCAGGCAAGGCGGGGACGCGGGTGCCGCCTGGTGCCGCCCTCATGGTGGGGGCCGTCCCGGAGCCACGACGGGCGAGAGGGAGTGCCTCTCGCCCCGACATCAAAATGACAACCACTAACCTCCCGCCCCCTTGACGCTGGCAAAATTAGAAGCGGAAACGGCGCACCTCGCTGCCTTCCCCCGAAACAAACAAAAAGCGGCGGTTTCTTATCGTTTAGGCACGGTCCCCCAGACGGGGGCCGTCCGCTTCGGCCCCAATTTTTAAACAACTCGGGAAGGCTCGCTCCAAAGTTTATGTATGCCGGCGGGCCAAGGCGGTGCGGCGGTGTCCGGGGCGCTGTGCAGTCGACGGGGAACGTGCGGCACCTCGGTCGGGCCGTGATAGAGCCGTGCTCGACGCCGTGCTCCACGCCGTGCTCCACGCCGTGCTCCACGCCGTGCTCCACGCCGTGCTCCACGCCGTGCTCCACGCCGTGCTCCACGCCGTGCTCCACGCCGTGCTCCACGCCGTGCTCCACGCCGTGCTCCACGCCGTGCTCCACGCCGTGCTCCACGCCGTGCTCCACGCCGTGCTCCACGCCGTGCTCCACGCCGTGCTCCACGCCGTGCTCCACGCCGTGCTCCACGCCGTGCTCCACGCCGTGCTCCACGCCGTGCTCCACGCCGTGCTCGTGCACGCGCCACGAAATGAGAAACATCCTTGTCCCGGTCATGC